CAGTGTAGTCCTGTTGAGCTCAGTGGTATTACTCCTCCATTGATAGCCCAGGCAAGACTCTGAACTTCATCAGAATTGTTTCTGCTCGTCACTTTGTGGTGGTTGCCTGCTTTGTTCTTCATTTTGTTTCATGGCTCGTTTGATTTTTCTCTGTTCAGCATCACTGTATCCTGGCAGCTGAGTTCCAAGCAGATTAAAATGCACACTTCAGCTGCCTGCCTTCATCTGTTCAATGGCAGCAGACCTGGCTTTGAGGGCCCAACACTGAGTCTGCCTGGAGGTGACCCAGTCTCAGCAGCCCATCCCTTCCAGTTCTTGTGAGCACTTACGGGTCTCCTTCTGGTCTTTTGCCGATGCCAGTATTAGGACCACATCTGGGACTTCCTTAGCTTCATCAGATGCTACTAGCCATTCCCCCCAAAATCTTTCTTTTCTGTGCTTAGTTTTGGTCTATTGCTATATCCCGTTTTACTTAACTTCCTGGCTCCCTTTCATTTTCCCTCCCCTCACTTCAAAAACTCCCATTGCTTCTTGTATTCCAGTGAATCCCAGTTTGCTCCATAGATCTTACACGTACATGCAGCAAACATTTAACCTACAACTGGCACGAAACCTGTTTTGGGATTAAAGCCAAGCTTGTCTTCAGGACACTGGTTAAAAATCATGCAGTTTATCTGGTTGTTGTGGCAGTTTTGTGGTTTTCCTTCATCCTCCCCTCCTCTGTCTCTGTCTACAGTAGAGTTTCTGCCACTGCATGTGGATTAACACTTTATGTTTTCTTTTACTCTTCCAAAAGACATTGCTAATCAAACATCTTAAATGTTAAATCAGGTTTTGGCACATATGATTCAAATAGTCTAGAGAGGAAACCTAAGAATGCTGCAGCCTGCATTTCAGAAGGATGGTGTTGATGGGGAATACCCATGTTGAGTGAGGATAGGGAACGTTGTCAGACTACTGCGGTCCTACAGTCTGCTGGAGGCTGTAGTCCTTTATTTACCTCTTTAATTTCTCCACTTCTCAGCAAGTACCAATCACTGAATTATTTTTAGATGCAGTTCTTTGCTGTGGTAGCTCTGCTAAGAAGGGATTTGTTCAGCTGTGTAGATGCAGATATAAATGGAAAAGAGCTGCTGGACCTTTTCATTGAGCTGTTACTGTCTGCAGAATACAGACGAGTGCAGGGTTTGTTTGTGGGGTTTGGGTCATACCATAGACCCTTACATGAAACTTTGTGCTTTGCTTGTCCTTTAAGGAAGGAAGTTCAGCCTCATGATTTAAGTGCAAACCCATAGAAAAAGCTTGTCACTGTGATCTGACACGCAGCATAACTTTGATCTCTGACACAGCAGTTCCTTGGGGTGCTAGCAGTACAGGTCACTGGACACGCAGATGCGTTTATTTCACTCTACTGAATTATGAATGAAAAGATGCACTTTCTAAATAATAAACTGTATTACAGACAGTTTTCGAAAGAGAGACCGTATGCTTGGCGAAGTTGAGATTATCAAAGCAACTAATGGATCATGTTTTATCCTAAGTAACGGGTTAAATTTTGATCAATGAAACAAGCATTGCCTTAGGGAAATGCAGTTCTAGGGGTGATTCTTGATGTGTGAAAAAGGGAAATTGGCTTTAGAAAAGTCTTCTGTAGGAGATGGGCTTGGTCCAGTTCAGATCAGTAGTAAGGCTCATTCTCCTTCAACTGGCATTGGGCACAACCAGTCCTTCTCCGTAAAGCAGAGCTAAAGCACCACTTTAATCTAAAGAACATACGTACAGTTCAGTAAATATATATATATGTGTGCTTAATTGGGGATTTTTTTTATGAACCAGGGTCTTAATTCTACTGGGATTTGCTCTCAGGCAGTAAGAGTTTGTACGTCAAAGGGTGATTATACTTAAGCTTGCATGTTACATTAATAAGTTGATTTTATTGTCATCTTTTGCCTGATAATGAATATGGCTTTTGTAAGTAAGTTAAGTTTCTTGTAATTGGGATCCATGTTTTCAGGAATTGTGTTGTTTTTTCATAGCGCGTTGAATCGAGCGCAAGAGATCAGCAGAGCTTCTGTAGTACTCTGACGGCAGTCTCAGCAAATGAGCTGTTCGTTCTTTTGGTCTTTTTTGGCACTGCTGTGAAGTGATGGGGAACACAAACAGCAGGTTATTATTATGGCATCATCCTTGATTCCAGGCTTCTACATATGGGTACATGTGTCCATACTCACAGGCATGCAAAATAAAGCGCCCTTTTGGTTTTATGGCTAAAACGTGAAAGGGTTACTAGAGTCAGATCTCAAAGGTATTTCTCTCCAAGTTGTGATACTGGTTTAGCTGCACAGATCCACCCAGCAAATGCAGTGCTTAGCCTTGGATGGGTTGCCTCAGAAAGCTTACTGGCTATTGGAAAACAGAGCTTCTCTAAACAGAGCCGTAATGAGAGACTCCTCCATCCTTTGCATCATCATTTTCAGCCATTTGAAAGTGCAGTCATCTGTGTAGGAGATGAAACTTCTCTTTGATGGCCTGTTTGTTTGGCATTCAGTGGTCTCAGGAGCTTCATAAACATTCAGTAGTTGAGCCTTTCTGTCCTCCAGCTGGTAGTTCAGTCCTTTTCTGCAGAAAGAAAAGCTAAGCCACTGAGACTTTAAAAATGGTGCTGACTTGTAGCCTAGACAATTTAAAAATAAAACGTAAATTCAGGTACTATGCTGCTTGTACAGATGCTGTTTTAATTTTGGTGGTTTGAACGACCATAATTATATAATTTAAAATAGCCTTTTCCCATCTCTTCTGGCTCTGGAGCAAACAGATGCAAAATAAGCAAGGCAAGAGTGGGTACAGGGGAGGTGTACGTGCAGCCTCCCTGTGCCCTCTGGTTTAGTTTGACTTTTAATACAAGTTAAGCTCTTGGGGCTTTATCTGGGAAATGGTTTGGGGCCAGAGACCGGCCTGGTGCATCCGCTCCCCATCCTGCTTGTGGTCAGGTGTAGGTGTCTGGACTGACAGAGCCAATGTGTGGAGGCAGAGACAAAGACTGCTCAGATCCCTAAAATCCTTCTTTTTTTGGCCTTCATTGCCTCAAGAAGGGCTTCTACATTTATGGGCCATTTCTTCTCTGCTTTTCTGGCCCAACAAAGTCCTTGCTGTGCAGCATCAGCAAAAGGGGCAAGTGCCCATCATCATGGATGAGGTGCTCCAATCCAAAGTGTGTTGAGGAGCAAAAGGAGTACCACAGCCGCTGATTTAACAGAAGGCAGTGGCTGCTGCCCCCTTTCGTAAGGGACCTCTCCCTGTCTATGCATTTAACATATGTCTTGAAAGCTCCTGTTGGATTGATTGACTTGGGGAGCATGGAAGAATGCTTAATTTCATGTTCTTGGTGGGACTGACGTTAATGCTGACTTGCTAAGTCTTGGTAGTAGCTTTGTGAGGTCTGGCAGAATTGAGTATGAGTAGTTGTTAGGGTCCTGACAAGCTTTAAAGAAGAGAGGTTTGAGGTTCGGTCGCTATCAGATTCAGGGATGGCAAAGTGGGTGTTTTCTCTTTTGGCATGAGCAGCTTACTCTTCTTGAGTCTCAAACGGGGTGCCTGAGTATATTAACGGACCTTGCTGATCATGTCAGATCCTCTGGCTTGCTTAAATAAATCCTGCCTTCTTGTCTTGTTACACAGTCTGTAACTGTTCTCACTTGCAAAACAACTGATTATGTATCCATTGGGCATCCTCCTCTGGCCCCGATTAGAGACTGAAGCCTGTGTGACTTGATGCATTTTGTGAGTGAAGGCTTGTTAACTGAGTGTGTAAATGTGTAATTGTCTGTACAATTATCCAATAGAGTTTTTTTTAGCTTTGCATACAAATATGGGAACACAATCATGCAGTTGGGTAAATTTTCCAAACCCAGATGCTTAATTAAATATGTGCATTGAGCATACAGATGTGAACATCCGTAAAAAGATCAATCCAGTTTTAACCCCCTCTTTTTTTTTTTTTTTTTATCTGAATGTTTTCATCCAAGTCTGTCACATACCATAGTTTCTGTGTTACCTTTGTCCTTTTTCCTACTAAATATGTTTAATTTGTGTGGGAAATGGCAGTTAGTGTAGAAATTGTTCAGAGGTTTCTGTTAACGTACGTGCTGGCTTTTTGTGAAGTGGTATCTTGTGCTTACAGTGGTTGGTGCTATAATACATTTAAAATAGTTCTATTCCATATGAAATATTAATTTGAAATGTGGGGGGTTTTTTGAGGGAAGCTTACTTAAATAATGGGCGTTGTTGGCAGTTGCAGTCCAACGCAACTTCCAAGAAGCAGAAACCGCCATTAAGTTTGTAAATAACGGAACGCTCCAAGTTTTCTCTGCACTCAGTGGTTTCTCTGTTTGGAAGCTGCTGATTTGCAAAGAATGAGTGATCTGGCAGTTTTGACCTTGCAATTATTGTCTGTTGCAGTGAACAAACCCCCAGATGGCTCATGTTTGAAGTCTGCAGTGTTCATTTACTGTGAAAGAAAACACAGTAATGCTGCTTTTCTTTATAATGTGTCCTTTTTTTATAAATTAAACACTACATTGAGTCTTTTTGAGGTGGCTTTAAAAGAACTATATAGGAAGGTAGTTTCAGTAACATGCAAAAAGTTCCTGAATAGTGACACAGCTGTGCCGTGAATGTATACATGTGTTTGACAACTTTATCCGGCCAAGGGTAGTCAGTTCTTATTCATAGACCCACAGAATGGTTTGGGTTGGGAAGATCTTTCAAAGATCATCCAACCCCCCTACCATGGGCAGCGACATCTTCCACTAGACCAAGTTGCTTCAAGACCCATCCAGCTTGACCTTGAACACTTCTGGGAGGCTTTGCCTCACAGGTTTGTGGTGCCTTCATAAATAGTGCCTTGGGCAGGGGCGTGAACAGCATCAGAGTTGGAGTTGCCGTTTTAGTCTGAGTGATAACCACTCCCCTAACACCTTTTCCTCTTCATTTCTCTGCAGATGTCGTTCCTATGAGGACTGCTGTGGTTCAAGATGCTGTGTAAGAGCTCTCTCTATCCAGCGACTATGGTATTTTTGGTAGGTCAGGGCATTTGGGAGTTCTATGTTTGTCATGTTCTTGTCTTGTTTGTAGGACTTAAATCAGGGTATTGCCAGCCCTAGTATTTTAAAGTAAAGTAGGTACAAGTATGCAGTAATGTATATGTGTACATATAAATGCAAGGATGATGTAGTGAGAAAACACTGAAAAAGGAGGTCACTCATGTCAGGTTCACCCTTCCTGCTTCTGCATCCTGCTGGTCTGTACAGGCAGTGGTCCCACTTTTATCCAGAATTGCTGAATTCCTTAGGCCTGTCTCAGCTACTACCAGGCGGCACCATTGTTTTTGTTGGGCACGCAGTTTTAAAAGAGGATTGTATAAGGAGGATTGTGCATTTAGGCAGGGTTTAAGATATTCTTGCCAGCTGAATTGAGGCCTCAATTAAAAAGGAAGAGAAGTACATTTATGACTATGAGGATTTCACTGGAGAAGACAGCAAGGGAAAAGAAGGCAGGAAGATGGAGCTTGTGAAACCAGCAGCTCAGTAATCTGGATAAAGCTTAAACTAATCACTGTTATATGCATAATGAAAAAATAAGGTAAATTCGTTTTGGAGAGGAATTTATGAAAGCACCTGAATAAAACCTTCTCATTACAGTAGAGAGAAAGCAAAAGCTCTCCTAGAAAACCTGATTTCACCATTTTTATGTAGAATTTGAAGACTGCTAAAAAAAAAAAAGCTTTCAAAATTGAAACGAATAAACACTGAAAACCAGAAGCCTGATATATGCTATAATACAGAGATTTCCTGGAGCTGACTGGGATTTCAGTGTACAATCCTTACTGATATAACTGAAGAGCTCTGCATCTCAATCTCTGGAGTGACGTCGTAAATCTCTGCTTTTCTGTTCAGAACAAATCCTTTGCAGGAACACTGCCAAAAGGGAATGTATTAATACTGGCTTGGGGAAACATGACCTCCTCCTGCTCTTGTTTCCACCATAGAAACAAGAACAGAATTTGACCCTTTGCATGAAATACCTCTCGCTGCTGTGCAGCATGCCACTCTTCCTCTCGGGCACCTGGGAATGCCCCAGGGGAGATAAGCATGGTGTGTAGGCTTGCCTCTGGCCAACTTCAGTGGCCTCTGGCCAACTTCCCCCTCTTCCAAAAGAGCACAGCTTCCAGTAAAGGGCCCTGAAATGAGGTGGCAATTACAGGCAGAAGAACCCTTTGGGTTTAAGGGAGCTTGCATCAGTCATTAGCATGTCTGATACCTAATCAAGGAAACGCAGGGAAAGCCAACTGTCTGAAGAACACAGTCTTCTGACTGCCCTTCCTGCATGTGCCTGTTTCCACAGTAGCAGGGCAAGGGAGTGATGAGGACAGTTCTGTCAGGTCAGAAAAGGAGCTGAGAGAAGAACTAAAGCAAATAAACGATGTCCTTTTCCTTGAGAATGTATATCCCATCTGGGAAGCACAAAGCAAAGCTTGTCATCTTCAATGCTGAATGCTTTGGTCTTCTGGCTTGAGTTTAAATGCCAGCTACAGATTTCCCATGGAAGACGAAATTAGAGTGTTGAGTAATTTAAGAACATCTAAGGATCTTCTTTTAAGGGCAACTGCAGAATAGTATTCCTCTTTGTCCCCCACAAACCTGGGGAGCCTCGGTGCTGTAAGTGCGAGGCTTGTGTCCAAGACATGCAGTTTGAAACTGTACCAACCTGGAATTTCAGTTCAGCATCCCAGTGACAAAGGTCAGGTATGAACACGAACCTTCCAAAAGTTCCAGGGTGTTTTAGTTTCGGTTTTGTATTTTACATGCCAGAAAACATCAGGCAATAGTACTGATGGCTAAAGATGTCTGTGATATACCCATAAGTGCCCCATGAGTGCTATCTCAAATGACATGGACCTGCTCTCAAGAGGCAACCTGTTTAAGAAACCCTGATGAAAGCTGTAGCCTGACGATTGCTAGATGATACTCTTGTTTCTCTCAGTGAACACTCTGGATTTGAGAGCTGCCGGAATGTGGGTGAGTTTTGACTTCCCTCTTCTCTTTGCCTAGGTTCCTTTTGATGATGGGAGTTTTGTTTTGTTGCGGAGCTGGTTTCTTTATCCGAAGGCGGATGTACCCTCCTCCACTAGTAGAAGAACCTACTTTTAACGTGTCTTACACCAGACAACCAGTCAACACTGCATCAGGTCAGAGACTGCTTATTAAACAAGTTTCACTAATTTCTTATATTTGCCACAGCATTTTAAAAGAGTGGGTTTGGGGGTTTTGTTTGGTTGGTTTTGGAAACTGGGGGATGTGGACAAGGGATTGCACTGTACTAAACCATGCAGCCACCTCCTGTGATGAGTGAAGTCTTCTGACTTTCAAACACTATAATTCAGCCACAGTGTACACAAGTCCTTTTGAAACTCAGGATGACAGGACTTTCCATTCCCTTCTCGTGGTTCCTAATACCTTTACAGCTGTGTGTCCATGCATGGAAGGAGGCTAGCAAATTCTCACTTTGCAGCAGAGACAAAATGACAGGTATCTAAAATAAACAGTGACGTGAAGAGTTTTAAATACAGTTCATAACATCTGCAGAGGTGAAGGAAAGCCTAACATTTTTCTTCCATGAGCTGGTTATCTTGCAAATCTTTTTTTTTTATTGGCCTTCCATGCTCAGTGCTACAGTTTTTCTGCAGCAAAGTGGTCCTTCTCCCTTTGTTAGTTGTCTCTCTGGTCAGTAAAGGCTGTGAGCATCAGGAGGATCTACCTAGTGACGGCTCCTCCGGCAATACTGCTTTCTAAGTTTGTTATTTCTTCCCATCTGGCTGTTAGTCCCAGTTTGGAGAATCCTGCAAAGTAAAACTCACCTGATGATATTTGTGCCTTACAGGAGCATTTTGAATCCAACTGCCTCTAGTTGGAAGACCTTCTATGCTTGCTGAGATTTAACCTGAGTGCACACTCTGATGCTTGCTTTCTCCCTGCTTCAGCAAGGCCAAACTGGGACGTTTTTAACCGCTCTCCAGATTGCATAAGCCAGTGCTAATTTTTGCCAGTGAAAGTACACACACACACATATATGCAGGCGTGCTTGGTACACTGACACTTTTCCTCCCAGACTGTCATTTTATTGCATGTTATATTAGAGAGGGCTGAAGCCGGCAGATAATTTTTTTGGAATTGGCAATTTGTTTTTATATCATACTGCCTTGGAAGTGGAAACACAACCGTATATTTTGTAATGAGAAGGAGGATCTCTCTGAAAATTTGGTGCCTCAAGCCTCTCTATCAAAAGTCATCTTCTGAAGCATTACACCTTTGTGCGTTATTGTGGCTGCATCAAGACAGCCTCCTTAGAAAAGCGTCCTAACCCCCTTCTAGCTAGCTGTGACTACGAGCATTATACAGAGAATGCAGCCTTTGGGCTCTCCCCACCATCATGTCAGCGATTGCACAGCCTTGTGCAGGCTTTGAAAATGCTCTTACTTGCATCCTTAAGCACAGACATGCATTTTTTCCTTCTCTCTTTCGCAGGTCTAAATGGATAAAGTGATGTTACAGACAAAACTGACACTTCATTCACCCTCTTTTGGTTTAAATCCTATGAGGATTTTTTAGGACTTCAATTCTGTGTCTGTTTTTCTGCTTGACTGAACAACCATTTCCACAGAGAGTACTTATTTTTCAACAGTGGAGGGTTGGGGGGGAGCCAAGCTAACTAAACTAATATTTTTAATCCTGAAAAATAACCTCAAGATTATGTGAACAGGGAGCGTCTTTGGCTGGATCGGCAAAGACCAAATTTAATTTTAGAGCACAGTTTTATTTTTTCATGACACTTCATGGAACACAAATTGTGGGTAAATATAAAATAAGCACAAGCCCTTGGATGACCTGCTTATGCCACCTGCTTCCAGACTGTTGTTGTTACTTAAAAGCTTTAGGGTTTGAGCTTTACCCCACCGATTTTTTATTTTTGTTTTTTACTTTTTCTACTATTCTAGGAATATTCAACAGAAAAAGCAATGGGAATTAGTAGTCAACCAAGTTCTCATTTTCCACTAGCTCCTTTTCCAGATTTGGTAGCAGTAGCCAGTTCACTGTTGAGGTGGAGCCCTTGAAACGTGGCTCCTTGCCCATCTCCCTCCTTCCCTGCAGAGATAACGGCAGCATCTTCTGCCATGCCAGCAGCAGCCTGGAAGCGGGAGTGCTTTTTCTGTGGGCCTGACTGGGAAGATGGATTGAAACCTTACCTACAAGCAGCAGTTTGCAGACCTGGTGGTATCTTTCACTTCATCCCTGGCCTACATAGCCCCATACTGGCAGTTCAGGTGCTAGAAAAGGTTGTGTCCCTTTGTAGACACTTAACAAATACTTACTGAGCTGATCCCATGAGGAAGTTAATATTCAGGTGGTGTTTTCCTCTGGGTTTAGTGAACTGAAAAAATACTCAAAAGATTGGCATCCATACTTGCCCCCCTCCCCAATTCAGTAATAATACATGGAAGTTTTTAATGAAAGCAGTTATTTTCCTAAAGAGCAAGCTGCAGTGAGCTACTTCAGCCTCTCCTGTTCCTGCATGGGGATGGAAACTGCAGAAATGCAGAGCTGGGCAGGATTTAACTTTAGAACAAAATTGCTTAAGGAAAAGGCTACAGAAGAGGGTATTAGCCCAGACTTTGGGGAGGCAGGACTCAGCTCCTGTTCCCAGCCTGGCTCCCCCGCAGCTGTGTGCTGATGCTGTACATGGAAGCAGAACAAGGCTTCTCATCGCTGCGGCGAAGGAAGAGAGCTGCAGAGCAGACCTCTTTGCTCAGACAGGCAAAAGGAAAAATTATTGCAGCGGTGTGTTAAAAATTATTGTGTTAAGAAGGAAATAGCTGTGTTCCCGATCTGCTTTCCATCCTCTTTGCTCCTGAGTGCCCAAACAAAGCTCCCTAGGCAGATATCCAGACTCTGGGAGCATCTCTGTGCCTTATGGCTCAGCCCATCTAATGTAATATTGTAAAGGACACGTTTTGGAGTTGGGTATGTAGCTCCTTGCTGAATGCCTGAAGTACTAAAGGATGATTAAAGCTTCAGGAAGCCTATATTCCTTCTGTGGCAATACTGAGTCTTAGTGTCACTAAGTCACGGAAAGGAATGATTGAGGAGAAAATTCATGTGAGGCTGTCATTATAGGAAAAACAGACTAGCACCAAAAGAAGAAAACCTGTGGCTCAGCCATGATTTTTTGTTTTCAGTCCAGCTTTGTTTAAATAGAAAGAGAAGAAAACGAATTTACATCTTGAGACAGAAACAGTCTGTGACTTTAATTGCTGGAATTGCATTGTCTTCCGCCACCCGCTGTGATATCTGAGGAGGGTTACAACCACCTTGGTTCTCCCTCATGGCAGCAGTCTCTGTTACTCCTCATGTGTCATGGCTGAAGAATTTTGCATTTGATCATATGTTTCCGTTCCTTGTCCCTGCAGGCTCCAGCATAATATCCTAAATTTAATCTGTGCAAATCAATCTTGTTTCATTGTGCTAGCCAGACGTAATAGGCTTCAACTTGGGTTTTTCTTCATGCATGTTTACTCCTTAGCTGCATTGCACCTAGAAGGGAAATTATCCATTTGAGATGCACTCTGGTTTACAGGCGGATCCAGTATGCCACAAAATAGTCAGTGAAATCCTTTTGTAAGACTTGACACCTGAGTCCATCTGGGATCCCATGCCTCTCACAGGCACTGCAGCTTTTCTGTCCAGGGAACTGAGCAGGGCGTGCTGTTTTACCTTTCAAATAGTAGTTGCTTGGGGCAGTGGTGCCCTTTGTTTCACTAAATGATCTCTATTCCATGCAAAATTGAAATTTTTTGGCAAAATCTCAAGAAGTGAACATATAGTCCCACAAGCCTGGGTTTTTTCTGGAATGGGAGAAAGGTGGCTCCTTGTCCTTGATCTGATGAACACTTTGAGAAGTGTGCAGAGCAGAGGCCCTGGAAGAGCACAACCTGATGCTGCTGCTGTTGTTGATACATTTTCTCTCCTTTTCTTTCTTTCAGGGTCACAACAACCTGGAGTGCCGTATTACACAGATCCAGGTGGACCTGTGATGAATCCCATGGCTATGGCTTTCCACGTCCAGCCCAACTCCCCACAAGGAAACCCGGTTTACCCACCCCCACCTTCCTACTGCAACACACCACCTCCCCCTTATGAGCAGGTGGTGAAATCCTCCACGTGAGGACTCTCTGGCTCTCTGACCTGACTGTGTGAGAAGGTGCCACTGCAAAATGACCGAGATGGAGGGCATCTGCCCTTTTGAACACTTGCTAGTTCTCCAAGTCCTCTCTCCCTCCCTCCCCTGCACCTTTCCTCATTAAAGTTACTTGCAAAGGGGTAATTTTTAAATTTTTTTTCTTTTTTTTTTTAGTAGAAGTGGATTTTTTTCTTTGTCTTCAAAATGAGAGAAGTTGTCTTTGTAATGCTTTTAATGGAAACCTATATTTAAAACCTATATGTCTTTCTCTTTATTTATTGTTTATTTCAATCATGAGTTTAATTGCATTGTGGCAGGCTACTGATAGCAGTTCTTTATGCAGCCCCAGAGTGATGTGCACTCACCTGAGACCCCATAGCAGAAATGCCCTCATCCAAGGAAAATGACAGGGAAAGAGGGTAGAAGTAGAAGAGGCAGGGCAATGCTTTTCCCAGAAATGGTGACCACCATCTTTTTCATTTACAATTTTCTTGTACAGTTTGGTGCTGATGCCCAACAGAAAGACACTGTGATAGAAGTCGCTGTGACTGGAGCACCAGTGTTGGCCGAGTCACGGCAGGGGCTTTGCCAAGTGCCCAAGAAAAGAGGGAGTCATTACTTTAAATGATGCTTTGAAAAAGTGAAGGACCGGGACTTGAATGTTTCTTGGCCAGCACCTGGACTCTGCCTGTGTGATTGGCATCCTGGCTCCCCTTGCTTTGCAGCAGTGAGATTGTATGAACCAGCCTAAATATCGGTAGTGAGAGGGAGGTGTTACAACCTCAGAGCTACTTGTGCCTGTGTGTCTTGACAGAACGGTTAGGAATACTGAAACACTGAAAGTGAGTTTTCTTCCCTAAACTGGGAAATAATTACAGTAAGAAGGAATGGGAGCGGACTCCCAGGTTTGCTCCCTTTGACATTGTTGGGAGTTTTATCCCTGAGAAATAGTAGCTTTCATTATGGTCCTACTGCTGCCACAAAGAGTACTAAGCAGAGCTGTCATCTCCAGGTGACAGATGTGTGTAAAACTGCTCTCCTCTCTAGGTCAGGCAAGTAAACCGCTTTTTGGGAGCGGTGCTTAAGAGCCGTTCCTTGACCCGATGTGCAGAAGGTTTGGCTTCAGTGACTTAACTCCTCATCCAGGATTCCCAATTCACCATCTCATACTTGTGGCTGACTCTGAGTGACCCCAAGCCAACACCTTCAGATAAACCCGGAGCCCCTTTATCTGTGAGGGGCCTCATCTCTCACTTATCTGTGTCTAGTAAAACCATGCAGCTGCTCTGAGGCGTGACTACATACTAGTGGGACCTTCTCCCTTTGTGCATGTTCAGAGCTGTGTCACTAATGGGTGACAAAAAGAAGATGCCATCGCCTTCTACCACTGTAGGACCTGCAGAAACAGCATAGCTGAGGGTTAGGAGTCCCCTGTGGTCCTTTGGGTGCTGGGTGAACGCTTACTCACTGCCAATACACCAACTGCTCCTGTGTCACTCCAGCCAGGGCACAGAGGTCACCGAGGGGGTCTGGAGTCAGCTGAAGACCTGGGTTGCCCAGGGAGCTGAAGCTTTATTGTGCTGTTAATGCATGCTGGTGGCTTGTGAGAACTTGTTCCTAGGGGACAAGGTGGATTTGCAGAACTGGCAGAAAAGAGCACCCCTTTCATTATGAACGCGAGTCTCTAACAGAAAAACCACTACGGGTCACTAAGAGCCGCTGGTGGCTTTAGTATTCACCTGGAGCAAAGCTAGCTTCTGAGGAGCTCATTCCCCAAACCAGATTTGGGTGAAATTTTAACTAAGGCTTTCCTTTACTGTCTGCCACAATAAGCAACAAAGCAGAGTGCTTCTGTGTGTGCAGCGTAGACTCGTTGGACACTTAAGGTAACAACAAAGTACGTTTTATATATGATTACTAGGTCCATCTGCGCACCACAAGTGTATATATTTTCTAAATTAGCGTGCATGTGAAGTGTAAAGTTGCGTATGTCACTGTATATGGTTGTGTATACACGACACAATTTTTTTTAAAAAAATTCAACCTTTCTTTTTCTGTCAGTAGAAATTACAACAGACCTCATGTTAGTAGGTGGATGTTAAGTCCTTTTATATTGCAAAATGTATCTATGACAGCTGGCATTTTCCTGGACACATTGAATAGAAGCCTTTTATAGTGAATTCTCACACTGTACAATTGAAGTTGAACTTCTGGTGAAGTTTTGCTGAACTCTGGCTGGTTTATTTGCTAGTGTTGATGGATGACGCTACCTCTTACAACACATGCACTCCTCTGCTAGCAAACCTGTTTGGTCTTCTCTTGAAAACAGCACCTGTGTGGGCATCCGTACGAATTACTTCCAAACCGTTTACATGCATTTCCTCTCATTGCCTTGCTTTTGGAAGTGTTTAGGGTTTCTTTCATTTTTTTTCACCCTTTATTTCCCCTCTTAGTTTAAAAAAAAAAAAAAGTGGGGAGAAAAAAGGGAGAAGCCCTTGTAACCTTCAGTAGAGTGATATCAACAATATGAAGTTGATCAGGAGTGTACAGGAGTATACATTGTGTGCTTGGCAAGGTTGGTCGTGGGTTGGAGGATGGATGGATGGAGCAGAATTAGGTCATTCAGCAGCCTCGGGGGCTTCCATTGCTCGTAAAACTTGTGCAGGTTTTGTTTTGAACTACATTTTATTAAAGTAAGATTGGATGTTGCTGTACCTCTAGCCCTCTTCTTTGCTCTTTCCTGACCTGTATGTTTAAAGTTCTTTGTATTACTAAGTAGAGATAAGAGTGTGACCTCTTGTGTGCAGAGGAGGAGAGCGGGAAGGGCTAATGCCACTGAGAGATGCTGATGAGGCAGAGTGGTGTTTTGGCTGTAAAATAAGGTTGGTGCTGGTGGCTGGGCATCCTGGGGATGTGTGAGGCACTGCCCTGCCCCTCTTGGGGGCACCAGACCACGGAACGGGGCTGACTCTCCAACTGCCTTTGAGATCTCACCATCTACATCAGGAAGTTGATTTAATGTGTTGTGGGGACCAATCTCCTGGTTCTTGCAGAGCAGGTGTAATGCCTTGAACAGGGTTTGGGCAGAATGGAGCTGCTTAAGTCAAGCCAATGAGCCCAGGGTGGGGAGCCAGGAACATGAATGATACCCCTTGAGGGTCCTTTATTCAGCTGTGCATCATCAAAACATTTCTGATGCACCTGTGAGGAAGCAGTGATCAGGAAAAATATGCCTAGGTGGGTAAGGAAACCTTTGAGGTTCCTGCTGCTGTGACCCTGGCAGAAATGGGCATGAGAAGGGGGTCAGGCCCGTTCTTCTGCCCCAGTGAAATCTCCCACTACGCCTCTTGGAGAGAAGAGGCACTACCAGGGACTCTTGGTACCCATTTCCCATAGCTCTGCTGTGGCCAGTCCTTTGTACGTCTAAGACCTGTGCAATAAGCCCAGGCCACACTGCATGAAGATGGGGGGAACCTGCCCCTTCTGTGGCTGGGCAGATGGGTTTCAGCTGAAGGTTTTGCTGTTGGTCTCACCTCAGTGAAGAGCAAAGGTTGTAGATGACTGGTTGTGCTCTGCTCTCTTTTCCTCCTCAGGGACCATGCTGGGAGGGAATGAGTAGAGGTCTTTATAGACAGCTCCTTATGTGCAGCTTGTGCCTCCAGGTACGCTGGCATCAAATTTGTCTCTGAAGGGCTATTAAAGGTGGTATTCCTGAGACTCTCTAGATCTGAGTGGGGAGTTGGCCATCTCCTCATGCAGCAAACCTTCCTGACCTTGGGTGTTTCCGGGGCCACAGACTCTTGTTTCTGAGCAGGTTCCAGCTGCTAGTTCTTCCAGAATCACGGTGAGACTGAAGAGGCCCATTTGCTTCCCTTCCTTCCAGCTGGCAGGGGATTCTCACCTGTGGGTAGCCACGTGTGACCAACACAGCATCCACCCTGGCTGCTGAGGAACTCCTCAGCTAGCGCTGCCCTACCTCCATCCCACCAGCTGTGTGTTCCCAGGCCAGGGCGGTGCAAAGTGTAGACTCTGCTCTCCAGGTGGAGGGAATAGTTTATTTCTCAAATGTTTTCAGGTCATGACTTGGACCAGTCTGGCTACAGATACCAGAACACCTTGAGATTTATTTTGCATTATGTTAAAGCGATTGGCTGCCTGATGAGTGCTAAGGGTGAATGCTTGGACAAGACATAACCAGATTCCTCCACACCATAGAAATGCGCCTCTTTGGCAGAACAGACCTTCTTAAATCTTGGTCTAGGGGGCAAGCCAAGTGTGAGGAGGGTGGGCAGGCACTGCCTGCCTCCCCTTGCCTCCATCATGAGTGTGAACCACCCTGCCATGGGCTGCAGCCACAGAACCCTGGCAGTGGGGGGTAGGTGCAGGCAGCGCCAAGCTGCTGGTCATGAGCTGTCTGTCAAATGCCCTGCAGACTTGGGGGGGGGGGGCATAAATGCTCAACTTGGTGGGTTTTGGCTGAAAATCAACCCCAGCTCCTGAGCAGTGGCAGCACTGGAGGGCTGGCAGGGCGGTTGGGGCAGAAAGTGCTGGCAGTGTGGGGTAGGTGATGCTCGGGGGAGATTTTCTGGTTTGGGGTGATGGGATGTGGTTGACCTGGTAGGGGACAGATGGGTGGTTGTGACTCGGCCCCAACAAAGGGACAGAAATGAAAGGGACAGAAAGTGGCACAGCCTGAAAACTGGCTGGTTGGCATCCCACGTGCTGCTCTGGGGGGTTCTGCAGGCACTGGTTATCTGTCTGGGGTTGTTGGTGGGTTCCTGTGGTTTGAGGGGGAGGAGAGGAAGAAGCTGCTTGTAAAACCATCTCCTCCTAAGCAGCTTCTGGCAGGGGTAAGCAGGGGTGCAGAGCGACTCTGTGATCACAGGACGGGCCTCCCTCCATGTCCTGCTTATCCCAGGGGACTTTGGGAATTATATACCTTCAGCTTTTGGTTCGTGCCTTCAGGTTTTGGTTCCTGCCCCACCTTGTACACTCCACACACCTTTCAGCCCTGCAGCAGGAGAGCTAGTGGTGTCTCATTCAAGATGATCCCCTCGCAGAAGAAAAGCGGCCATGGGGTTGCTTTTTGGTCTTTCAGCAGGGCTGTAAATGCCCTTTCAAAAGTCACCCTTCAGCTACTGGTGACACGGCTCTAACTGCCCCAGACTCACACTGCAGCCACCAGCTGGCTGTTGTCAGAGCATCTCTCACCCACAGGAGATGATTTTTATTTTTTTTTTCCCTCCAGGAAAGTGTGTTTTCATCCCATAAAGCACCTTCAGTCCAATGTGTTTGCTGCCTCACCTACTACTGAGGTACGGTTCCCTATTAATTGGCGACTTGTTGCGTTGATGGTTGGACTGGGTGATCTTCAAGGTCTTTTCCAACCTAGACAATTCTGTGATTCTGTGACTTGTTCACTGCAGTCCGAGGGTTCAGGTTTTGGTTCCTCAGCCTCACGGCAAACATGCAGCCCCAGCACTCGCTGCCAGGCGCGGGGCAGCTGGAACAGCCCTGCCAAGGCGTGGGTGCCCAGTGAGGCAGGCGCTGAAGCAGCGCAGTCTTAATTCACGGATCTTTGTTCTCAATTCTCCCCTCCACCTCCTCCTCCCTGGTGCTCGGTGGCTCATAGGAGTGGGGCAAACATCACCTGCTGTGCCTCTAGGTAATTAGCAGGCTGACTCATCAGTTGTGCTGCAAATAGGCCCCAGTTTGACAAGGAGGGTACCAACCCTGCCATTTCTGTTTGGGGCTGCCAGGCCATGTTGGGAACAGATAATGTAGCGACAAGCTTTTTTGTTTTGTGGGTGGGTTTTGTTTCCTTTTCTGTAGAGCCCTGTGACAGTTTACACTGCTGTGAAGACAAACAGCTGGGACTACATTTTCCAGGCAAAGGAAGCATTGCTCTTTCCTCCCTACTTCAAACAAACAAAAAAACAACCCCAACCCCCTCAGAGAGGTTAGTTTTAAATGCATATACCCAAGAAGCTACTTTTTGGCACGCGGGTCAGCCATGAGGCAGTTTTGATAAAGCAACTGCTAGATATTAATGCTCTCCCAGAGGAGAGGAGCAACTGGCAGCCCTGTCCCAAGCTGCCACATGCTGCAGGGTGAAGGGGACAGCAGAGAAGGCAGAGGGAACAGTGACAAGTCAAGCAGCCCTCCAACCCCAGCCCCTGCAGACGAAAGAGGACCTTAGCTGCACGTATGTATTATTTTGGCTTTCTGTAGTGAGAAAAGTCACAAGGACAGGTGTATGTATCCCTATCTATGTTTTTTTCTCTCTACATTTTTCTCCTGCTACCTAACTCTAGCTTATCTAATAGCTGCAGTTGGATTTACAGCAGCCCCCTTGCAGACGTCAAGGAGAAGCAGTGGCTCAAGACAGGTCGCTGCTGCTCCCTGTGTACAAATCAGTTGCTCTGCCCTGCAGATGGGGCTCCTGCGCCTGTGAATTGACACAAAACCCAATGAAAACAAATGGGGGAAAAGTCAACAATTTCACTGGGAGAAAGACTGCTGCCTGACACACAGCACACATGCTTCTTCCCACCTCTCTGTCCTACCCTAGTTTGACGCTACAGAGAACTGTTATGCTAGAAAAGCCCCGACACACTTATCTAGCTACAGCTGAATTTATACAGATCATCTTCAGGTCCCTGCCAACAGACCAGAAATAACGCTATTAATTCCAAAAAAGCGTGACAAAGGGGACAATGAGTGGCATGTGGGGCTCTGTGAAACAGGAACATGAAGTTTCCTTCTGCCTAGCTAGAGAAAATCATCAAGCATTCTCAAATCTGGCAAACAGATGTTCGTCAGCTGGACAGAGAGATTTTATACATGTGTTCTTAAAAGCCAGCTAGTCATGAGTCAGGCTTTAGCTGCAAACTGTCTGACAGGACCTGTGTGACCAGAAAGGAAAGCAAGGCTTTGCACTAAGCAACATACACTGAAAATCACCCGGGAGAAGCAGCAGTACTAGTAAAAGTTGAAGGTTAAATCAAAGCCATTTGCCCGCTCTCTGGCGTGTGTTTCATCCCATAGGACTATGAGATCAGGAGGGGGTTCAGCAGTCAGATCAGTGGGACAGCTATCACCACAGGGAAGGAAGGAGTACAACAGGAAAAAACAAAAAAAGAACCACACAAATTACCACCACATTGCTTGATCTTTACTACTAAAGCTAAAGAACAAAACATCAGCATTTTTTTCCTCTTTTTTTCTGCCCAAAGAGCATCTCCATTTTTAACACTACTGCTTTTTGCAACAGATGGGACTATTACACACAGACAAAGCAAACCAGGGAATATTGAAACATTTCCCACATTTTTAGTTTGATGCGATTTCTGAAAACGACACCTTGGTGAAATGCATTTTTTCACCTTCACACAATATCCTTTCCTAATGGGCCACCTAAATATCACAACGCTGTGACGAACAGAAAGGAGGAGCCACGGGGAAAGTCACGTGAGGAGGATGAGGCAGACGCACTGTCAGATGCTTCCCAACTTAATAAGTTTCCAGTCCTGCTCAATTCCAAGAGGATTCTGTGGAGAATCCAGGATCCACTGCAGCAGAAGGCTGGCTATGGTACAGAAAGAGCTGGTAGCTGACTTGCTCATTATTTCAATAGATCTTGGGAGATCTGCTCAGTATTAAGCTAAGTGTGTATATACCTATATATTTTATTAAACCAGCAAGTTTTAATTCTCCCCGGGCTCCAGCCAGCCAAAATCACCTCCCACAGGTGCCATTGAAAGCTCAGCAGCCAAAAAGACATACATGAATATAACCACTGAATGGAAAAACCTGCCTGTTGACCCCCTAATTAAGCAGTCAGCACAACACACACATGGAGTTTGCCAAGAAGGCCTGTGGCTTCTGTTCTGTGTTTGCAGGCAGTTCCTGCAAACCTGGCAAGCCACCCCTGTTAACCCACCCCACAGGCTCTGCAGTCACAGCGGAGGGAAAGGAAAAAAAGGGGTGGGGGCGATGTGCAACAAGATCAGAGCTGCCATCGAGCTCCTCTGTTAGAATTTCTGTGAGTTCAGCCTGGGCAAGCTTCCTCCCTGGCTCATCTACGGGCAGGATCAGCGATCCACAGGCTGAAGAGAGAAAACAGGGAGTCAGATGGAGAACAGCTCACTCGAGGTGACCTCTACCGGTGTGCTCTGGGTATTGCCCCCCCGTCATCAGGTCTCCCCCGCCTCACCCATCCCTCTGCTCCGGTTTGCTTCGCCCCACTGTGCAGCATCCCTCACTCCCGCTGCCTCTCTGCATCTTCCCCCATCCCTGGCTGTAGAGATGCAGCTAGGTTCAGTGCCCCCCACCTCATCTCCTGCCCTTTGCCAGAGGGGTGGAAAAGTCCCTCCTACTGCCCCCTGTGTTTTAGTCCGAGGTGATGAGGCAGCAGAGGAGCTACACGGTGCCATTACACTGTCCCTGCTGCTGTTGCCCAGCAGAACTGAACGTGGGGATTATGAACATCCCAGTGGATTTGGCAGCAGACACGATGAAGTTCACAGAAGTTACCTGCTACCACTCAGAGATTTATGCAGGAGCACAAGGCATCCCTGAGCCTGCCTGCAAACAGCGGTGCTCGGCAGATGGCCTGCAGGTCACAGGTATCCCGGCGTGCACTCGAAAGTCAAACCCTCTGCCGTCTGTCACACTCACGCCCGGCAGAAGATATCAATTAAAATAAACACCTGGAATGACAGAGCACAGGGAGACCTGGGGGAAGGATGACAACAGAGCCTGAGTGAGCGTGCTGCACTTCCTTTCCTTCCCCAAGCAGTAAGCACACACCGTCTCCAACGCGTAAGCCTGCTGTAAGTGTACTCAGAGTGTGTCCCCACTTCTCCTCCCAAACTGAGAGCCTGATACTCAAGAGCACCAGGAGGCAGGTTTAGCATTTCACAACCCACCACACTACAAGGAGAAGCAAAGCACTAGCAGCACAGTTAAAACTAAGGGCAAAGGGCCTTTTCTGTTTGGATTTGAAGATGAAATAAACTTCAGTTACAGCCCCCAGAAATGGTTTCATATTGCTCATTAATCTTCTGCAGCCTCCACAAGCAGCTGGTATTTATCGCTCCTGTCATACTACACGGGCTAAATGCAGCGGGGCTTGGAGAGGGAGGGAAGGGCCCAGAACAAATCACGCCTTGCTTCAGAAGCAACAGTCATACTGAGTTACTGGCATGAGAAACGGCCCCGATTCCCTCCCTTACTTATTTGTATACTAGATGCTGCAGGACAGGTTTATTACAAATCCACGGAGAGGAGAGGAGAAGCACAGTTAGGGTGTCCCTGCCGTGCTGCTGGTGGCAGCAGGAGGTTAGTAGAGGTGACTCCAGCAGCAGTGTAAGCTCATGCCATGGGATGGGGCTTTGCAGAGGTGGGAACAAGCGTCTCCACCCTGCTGTAAGTGCCTAACATGCTAACCAGGTGCAGGTATCAAAGGGTGCCTCTCTTTCAGGCTTTCAAAAAAACCTCCCACAACAGCAGTGACAGGTAAGTCAAGGCCCCTTCCAACCTGCTAAGTTTCTGAAAAGAGAGGTGGCCTTGTATCTCTTTATCAAAAAAGGCTGATCTCCACCAACTTAGCTTCTAGGGACTGTGGGGAAAAAAAGCAGAAAAACATGAACGTAAAAATGATTTTTCATCTCTTTAAAGTGCACCAGTGGAGCTGGGCACCATCCTGCAGTGAACTCTCTGGCATAAGGTGGAACTCTCTGAGTAACCACGCTGCAGAAAGCAACACTACTGTTGTGAGTCATGCATGAAGGTACAGGACGGAGATTCACACAGAGACCAGCTTTTTGCTAACAACGAAAGACTCAGATCAACACACAACACCAATAAACATGCAGAGCATGTCAAAGACCTGAAGAAGACAAATACAACGGAAAAGAGAAAGTTCAAGACTTGACTTCTCTTGTCCTACATCTGAACGTGTCACTTGTTCAAGTTTATGTGTGGCTTCTCCCATTCATGCTCTAATGACTTCATGGTCCTTTGGGCCAGGGCGGGGTGAGAAAAGGGGTTTATCCATCCGTTGGTTCAGAGTTGAGTTGGTTCAGTATCTGAGGCACTAGACAGTCTCATCTCTTTTGGCATCAGTTTCCTTTCAAAATGATCTTTTAGCTGTCCTGTTCCACTTTGTTTTCCCTCCTTTGAGGTCCGAGTTCAAATGCTGGAAACTGGGAAGTCTCCGGTACTGAAATATCTGAGAGGAAGTGAATAGCTCCAGCCATGCCTAAAACATAATGAGAAAGAGATCTTTGTGTATCTTTGACATTAAAATAGCATAGATGACAGCAAAGGCAAAAGTACGTGCTTGAAAACCTCCTCGCTAGATTTTTTTTTTTTTGAAGAGGTGAACTTAGGGCCTATAGAAAGGCAAGTTCATCTGTACTTTGCCCAGGAAACCAAGTTGCACTTCATGAGATTAAAGGCAAGAACCACAATCTCTCTGCTACCATCTTTTCAGCTGCACAACCTCAATGCTACTTGAATCAAGAAAAAGTAAATCCCAGTTTGGACTGTCCTTCAGAAATCGAGCAGCTCTTGCTTGTCATTTCACTGCTTAAAAAACAAAGGCAAAACTTTGTTATACTTGTGATGTACAGATTCACAGAATCACAGAATGATCTTGGTTGGAAAGGACCTTGAAGATCATCCAGTCCAACCATGAACCTCACACTGACCATTCCCAACTCCACCAGATCCCTCAGCGCTGGGTCAACCCGACTCTTCAACCCCTCCAGGGATGGGGACTCCACCCCTGCCCTGGGCAGCCCATTCCAACGCCCAACAACCCCTTCTGCAAAGAAATGCTTCCTAATGGCCAGTCTAAACCTTCCCTGGCACAACTTGAGGCCATTCCCTCTTGTCCTGTCGCTTGTTCCTTGGTTCAAAAGACTCATCCCCCCTCTCTGCACCCTCCTTTCAGGGAGCTGCAGAGGGCGATGAGGTCTCCCCTCAGCCTCCTCTTCTCCAGACTAAACCCCCCCAGTTCCCTCAGCCGCTCCCCGTACGACCTGTGCTCCAGACCCTGCACCAGCTCCACTGCACTTCTCTGGACACGCTCGAGTCATTCAATGTCCTTTTTGTAGTGAGGGGCCCAAAACTGAACCCAGTCATCGAGGTGCGGCCTCACCAGTGCCAAGTACAGGGGTAAGATCCCTTCCCTGTCCCTGCTGGCCACGCTATTGCTGATTCATTTGTTCTCTGTTCATAAAGAGGTCACCCAGAGCTTGAAGCACCAACACCATCATCATGTAATAAAACTTTTAGGGTGACAGACAACAGAGACACCCAACAGCAGGACAGCATACAAATACAAGCACAGTTCTACAATCAAGCTAAAATCCTATTTTATCAACAGCTAAGCACATACAAAGGAACCTTCCTAAATAGAGCATCTGATGCAAATGAAACGATTAAGACAGTGCCTTAAGATGCACAGTCAACTTCCACTGAAAGCGTGCACATATGTGCAGAATTGGACAACTTCACGCACAATTTTGGCTACAAAAATTCCCCCCAAAATTCAGACTTGTCTCGTATTTAAACTTCTAGATTTTTCTTTAAAAATCACTGATATTGAAAAACTAAAATAAAAGCTCTATGTCAACATTAAAGCACAAATCATTCTATTGTTGCCACTACTTCAATTTCTCAACAAATTTCAAAGCTGTCTCTACAACAGATTGCATGCCTGCTTTTCCCTCTACAAGTGCATGCAAGGGAGCTCTAGGAATAAGAATACTTATACTTTTCCCCCTGAAACATCAAGACAGTAACTCTGTATTTAGAAGGGATGCATATAACTACTGCTCTCTTGTGTTCACAGTTTGGATTGGCTTATTTGTAAAATAATTCTATTAGGTTTGCTGTAATTTCACATATTTGTGATAGGTGGCACACTAGGCTCATTGTTCATGAAGCAGAAGTGCTACTTAAAATGCTACTTGGGTCTATGATTCCTTGGCTTCTGTGTTTTTTAAAATGATAGGGAATAGAAAATAAATTACAATACAATAAAATACAAAGCTCTAGGAAAGTATTTAGGAACACCTTTGAGTTTACAGACAAGTCCCCAAGAACTCTGCGTTTCTTTTCTGTCCAAGTGATTTGGGTTCATATTAACACTAGCTTTTCCTTGCTTTAGCATTGCAGCAGAGTTCTAGTTCTGAAATGCCAGCAACTACTTTGAGACCCCTCCACCACAGCTGCTGCTCTGCCCAGTCCCTCTGCAACGTGAGCACCTAAGACAAAATCGTTGCTCCAACTTCTCTTTTGCTTTAAGTCAAGAGTCATCAGAGCAGAATTTCATTCAAGAATAACAGTGGCACTAGCTTTACACTGCGAACTGCTGAAGTGCAACCAAAAGTGAAAGTCATGATAGTGAATGATTTTTCTTTTGCCTTTTACTCCCCCTGGCCCTGGCTTTCTTTTAGGCAGAGGTGGTGTTAGTGGGTGGGTCTATTTTTAATAGCAGAGGAGCCCACCATAGATTTCCCAACTCCTAAGCATGCACCTGCAAGGTTGCCCTTCTTTCCTCTGTAATACAGTACCATTTGCAACACCGTCACTCTACCTTCAAAGAGAGAGTAAGGTCGGTCAGGAATACGACATCCATGTGCACCATACTCCAAACACCATTCAGCAAACTGGAAAACATTTTAAAAAAAAAAGATTTTTTTTTTTTTTTTAATTTAAGACTGCATAAGCAGAGACACAACACAGACATTGCTGTCCAAGATCAATCTGTCCCAGTCCAACTGTGACAAGGCTGCCATGAGGCTTTAGGGTATGTATCTCAAGAGCACAAGATTCAGTTTCATAACAATGTAATTAGGTGGCCTGTACTTCACTCCTGTTCTCTGTAAATCAGCCCTGCTACACATCAGTGAGAAATGCTATGAAAACAGATGCACCCATCTTCAAGGGCAAAATTTTTCTAATACTGTATCAGTTTCTTATCTGCCTTGGTGCTTAATTTATCCACATGCCCATGATTTAAGGTTGTTAATTGCATTTTGGTTTTCTTTCACTTCCGTGTACTAATTTAGAGTGTTAACTCTCCAGATACTATTACTTAGTTTTATTTATTTGCTCTCTCCAAGCCTGATGAAAAATCATTATAAATAGAGTTAGGTAATTATGGTCATCAATATTTTGTTGCAGAAGATGGAATACCATTAAAAAGAGTTAACAGTGCCTTTCTTGAGTTTGATCACCACTGCTGCAGTAGCTACCGTTACACATATGACTTATGAACTGCATCTGGGTCAATTTAATAACAACCACCTACTTCTCCTTTATGACTCCTCAGAGCATAGAGGGGGCCACAAATTCCCCTGGCATTTCTGCACTTGGAAGCAAACGACTGATTATTCAAAATAGAGTGAGAAGATTCCCGCAAAGCAAAGAAGTAAAACGTCTCTCTCTGCTCCCCCTGCAATTTGGGCAATGTGCTAGCACACCGATCATCCTACTAACTAGAGGGTGCCCTGGCTCTAGAGTTGGAGATAGATAGATAGATAGATAGATAGATAGATATACAGAGAGAGAGAGAGAGTTGGTTTGAATATGCCTCCAGAGCCAGTTCAACAGGAGCATGAAGGGTGATATCTCCTCCCTTCTTTCCCCCACGCTCTTCTGTTTAAATGTTTACTGGGGGATGGATTTTTTCTTTTCCTGGTAGGGACGTGTGCACATGTGGGAATGTCTTGAGGAAACCCAGCAAAAAACCCACAAACACAAACACTGGCTCACGCTGTTACTGAGAACTGATTAAACATTTTTGCTCCCCCCCCCCCGTGGGTCTACATCTTCAAACCAAAGTTTAATTCTGTGTGTAATCTCTTCTATGTGAGGACTGAACATGTTTATGGCATGTTTCTAAACTACAATAAATTCTTGCAACATCCACATCTTATTGCATACTAGCCTTTATTATTACTGCCAGCTTGGAAACTGCAACAGAAATTAAAAAAATGCACCCCAGGCTACTGAAGCACAACCATCATTCACAAGTTCATAGCTTCAGCACAACTCACAGATCCAGTAAGCCACACTAATATCTTTGTTAAACCAAGGGGAAAAAAAACTAGAAATCTCTTATAAGCAGGAAGACATCTGCCATTATTTGTCACGCAGACTGGGCACACTTGCCATCAGAAGTGGCTTAATCACCACGCCGAGCAGCACAGGGCTCGGATGCTCTCTGTTGCCTGGAGCCCAGGATGCTGCAGCCCCTCTCTCCTCTCACAGGCAGGCCAGCAAGGAACAGCTCAGCCTCCTGGGACTCCGTCTGATAATGCTGGAGAAAAGCTGCGAAGTCTGAAGTGAGAAGCACAAACCAAGGGTCTCTGTGAGCCATGGCCTTTCAAGCTCTGCTGGTTAATTTGTGAAATAGTTCCATGGAGGTAACCAGCGCTTCCTGGCCACATTCCTTCCCCCGGACCTCATGTTTTCAGTGAGCAAACACCCCTCGGGGGGGAACCATCTAGTTCTGCTCAGGCCTTTGCACACTTGCTTCCCTGCGCTCTGGCTCAAAAAGGAAAGATTTCAAGAATGCCAGACAAGCAGATTCCTCTGCCTGTGTCAAGATTTCCCCTGTGAGAGCCCGAAGGGCCTGACTGAATGCTGGGAGATGCTAAAATGCGGAATGGCTGCAAATCCACTGCCAGACTTGACTGTGCTGGACACCTCCAGCAAACAGTCTTTGGCCACTGTGCCACATCTTCCTTCTCAGAGGGGTTTCAGGGTCGTAACCGAGCCTCTGCCTTCTTTGGGTTTGAAACAGATACACATGCTTTTCCCTCGCTTGGTATGGAAGAACATGGGGGCTCTCTTGGGCCAGAAATGCAGCACCAAGAGGAGCTGCCCATGCTGCAGAAGCCACGGAAGATGTACTAGCACTGCGGATGGCAGCAACAGCCCGACAGCTGTGCCAACAGCAATACCTGCTCAGTGCCGTGGCTCACGCGCTAGCAGTGGGTCAGCCCACAAGAAACAAAGCCACCCATTTGCCGTGGGAGTGCTAGAGGGTTAATCACATTCTCTAGGATACAGGTGTGCCCACAGGTGTCCTCATGGTGTGATGCTTTGGTCAATGTGAAACAAGCAGCAACTTTTTAAAGCTCTGTTGACAGTGGAGACGAATACAATAGAGCTTTACATATGGCTAGCACTCATCTAAAAGCACCTAAGAAGCAACTCATCAAGGTTCCCATTGCAATACTTTTTAAAAGTTATGTATGCAATCTGAGACCTAGTATCAGTGAATTAAGCTGGGAAAAACAACAAACCATAATAAATCCATACAAAACAAAGTCTTATGAGATGAGGAAACAGAGGCAGAAAAAGCCTTCTCCTTCGGTAACTGGTAGGATAGTCAGAGCTGATAGCAGAACCTGGACAATTCCAGTGGAAAAATTCTGCATGTGTCTTTCTCTGCAATTTGTACTGATGAAACTAACAAACAATAAAATCTAAGTGATTTAATAACTGCAATTCAGAGCTCTAAAAGTCCCAAACAGACACTAGTCTGAAAACAAATAATTACAAAAGACTGCGAAACAGTATTGCTTGAGGAGCTGAGGACAACAGCGGATGTCTCAATGGAATAATTAGCACCACATAACAGTAGTCTGTAATTTTTCAGGCAGGCTGATTTTCAGACTCTATTTTCTTCTGAATATGTGTTCAGTTCTTCCCCCCTTGCAGAATATTTGCATGTTTCACTCTGTGTGCCCCACATACACAGCTGAAGTTGCCCAGATGAAGTGTGAATAAAGGGGAGCAACTGGCAGGACCCTGTTTTCCCAGCCAGCTCCAGCTCTAACAGCCCACTGCAATCACAGTTTAGTCTTGCACGGGTGTTACGATGTGAAATGGAACAGTAATTTTGTTGGGATGCTGCAGAGCTCACCTTGCAAGCTCGGTAGAGGTACTTTTTGTCCTGAGTTAGGTTATAGAGAGACAAGAAGGAGTAGCCATTGCCAGCAGTACCATGGCAGATCCCATATCCTTTTCTCAATAAACCTCTCTGCCAGATGACATCGCTACAATCCATAGCATCTTTCAAATATTTATCCTCTTTGAAAGTCTGTGAAGTGAAAACAGAGAATAAACACACATAAATTGAAATATTAATGAAAACAAAAGGCAGCTGAGCCTGAGAGATATTTTGCTGTTGGTGTGGGGTTTTTCCATGTACCATTTATTTTGAATTTTAATAATCCATTCATCATAGACTTTTCTTACTAAGTTGTTTCTCCTTTCCCTGCATGGAAAAACAAGGAACTTCTCAAAATTTTGTTTCTGAAATCAGGACCCCAAAGGAAAAGCTCAAGTTCAAGGCCCTTGGTTCTACAACCCATAATCTATTTGAAGGGTACATGGTCCTTTTTTGCTTCTCCCCTACATTCCCAAACCACAAAATCATTTAGTTTGAAATACAGAAATGTAATTCTTGCCTCCAATAAATGTAACACAGAATATACTGGCTATCAAATCTGTTCCTAAGGGGCTAGGGCCCGGTCATCCTCAGTAATTCTTCCTGGCTACTCACCATCTGCCTTCAATTCCATGTCAAAAATGAACAAGAAAATCTCTTTGCACAGCACAGCACTCTTTTCTCTGTCACAAGTACAGGTACAAATTATCTTGATTAGTATTTGCATTGGAAATTCTCAGAAGCACTAGCCAGTTTGGGCAAAGGATCAATTTTGCAAAGTTTATTGCAACTGAAGTGCATTTTGGTCACGGAATGCCCGTCAAGAAAGAAGAAACAAAAGCAAGTAATTTAGCTGAAGACCACCAGACTTCCACCTTTATAAGGCTACTTTTTTGCTCCCTTTTGCCTAAGTCACTCTACAGATCAACTAAACAACAAAAAACCCTCAGTAACTGATGCGCTACTGTAGACTTAGTCCTCTAGAGATGGCATCCCCTGCCAGGCTATTTAATAAGATAATAGAAGCATTTAACAAGCAAGATTCTTAAATCCACAAACGTGATAAAGGAAGTCCCTCTCTCAACAGGGTTTGTCAGCTACTTAGCTGCAACATTTCAAATTGAGGCCTGGCAACAGCATTTGATTTCCAGGACAAGCACTGCTGTCTTATCACAAGTCCCGGTGCTTGCTATGAAAGCACAGCCACCAAAACATACTCCAGGTTTTTTTATTGCTTCTTCTAAAAGCAGAATATAAAGAATGAAAGAAAAGCATCATATTCCACATCACCTTAAACATAAAAGGAGGTCAGAAAGGAGAGTGCTAAACAGAACATGGTCCTATCCCTCTTATCTCCTGCAAAACATTTTGTGCTGGGGAAAGCATGGCATGGTCAAAGAATGGGCAGGAGGGGGAACAAAAAGGAAAAAAAGAAGTCTGCAGTGTTAAGTCAACCTCCTACCACAGTGCAAAGAAAAAGCATCTGCAATTGCTACTACATTCAGCAATGCTGTAAGAGATTTATAGTTTGCATTTCAGGTAGCAGCATGAGTAACCATAAAACAAGCCTGCATTTCATCAGCCCACCCAGAGACCGACCAGGGAATCTGCCAAGGAAGGCTGTCAAAAGCAAGAATCAATTTGCATAAGTTTAATTAAATGGCATACTTTCAAATGTCATGCAAATCAGCAGCACACAACACAAGAGAGATAGCAAATCTTGTTAAGGATGGAGAAAAGCAAACAGTAGGCTTGTTGTAGCTCAGCGGTTGTACTTATGCCCTAGAAGGGGCCTGGGATCTTTGCTCTGACACTGGGTTCTCAAGCACTGTATCTTAATAATGGAGTAATTTATGGAAGGCTTTCTTTGGCAAGACACATGAACCCACGCTTTTGAAAACCAACATAATTCTTAAAACTCTGGGGATGAAGATTCAAAGAATTTAGGTCAATGTTCTCACACCCAGGACTCCGATATCAAATTGTTTAAATACATGGCCCTTTTCCAAGAAAGCCTAAAGTCTAGTAACTACTATCACCCTGAGAAGCAACTTTACCCACTTACTTCCTCTTTACAAACACATCTATGTGAGTATTTTGAGATTTTTAGGTGCCTAGCCTAGCATTCTGGTTTGAAAACCTGGATCTAGAAAGATGGAAAATGCCTTACAGTCCAACAGGCCTGCATACAGGTCTCTGTAAAAATACAGCTCTATATGAACATAGAACGACTCACCTTATAAGCTTGCATGAGCATGTGGATGACTCCGGGGGCACCATGGCACCAGTGAACCAGTCTGTCAGTCTCATTGCTCAGCGACGATGGGTAATTCCCAGATCTGAATTTTTTATGACGCACATAGTCAATGCTTGGCTTCACCAGCTCTGCCAGGGTCTCCTGGTCCACATTTGCAATTGGCTAAAGAAAACATTAAAAAAATCCACCACCAAAACCATAAACAGAAGTAGTAACAAATTGTGTATCAATGCTTAATTCTAAAATCTATTTTCAAGTATCCTACATATGTGTCCTTGATCCAAATACTTTGAATCACTTCATACAGATTTAATTAATGTCTGCTTATAATACCCTCGTGAAGAGCATTTTTACAGCTACTGTAGAGACAAAGAAATTGGGGCACCAAGTTGTTACCTGTCTTACTGGAGGTGACACAGAAAGACTGGGGAAGAACTCAGAACAGAATATGGAGTTCAAGGCTCCCAGGCCTCCCTTTATACCTTAAAATGGAGATAACACTTACAGGAGAAAGATGGTTTTATAGCTACGTTGCTCAAAGTAAACAAAACACAAAGGGTTATGCATTTTGTTTTAAAAATAACTAATGTAGACAAACCTATTGTATTTCCCCATAAATGAAGAAGAGTGTATGTAGTGGCAGACCTAGCACAGGTGTATAAAGGTTAAAGTTTTCCATCATAAATAAAACTCCCTGAAGCTATGGGCTATAAATCTGCATTTCCAACTTCAGAAGCAACTACTTCTCCAGGCAGCTAAACAACTCTGTACTACAAACCCATCTCTAGACTGCTCACCTGAATTTTCATTCTCATTTCTTTTATTTAGTTTACATCCTTGTCAGAAGGAGAATATATCCATCAACCTGAATGCTCTTTGTAAGTAAATGTTTAGAAGTTGAGTATCTGTAGGGTCTGCAGTTGTCCTTTGTTGGCATTCCCTCCACTAGCAGCCCATTTTACAGTATTTGCATAACAGAGCTCTCTATTTTCACACAGCCTACCAGATTTCTGGAATTCCTGCAAGCTGTGGGAATAACTGCAAAAAACTGAGCCTACAGGAGCCTAATAACTGAGCTTGTTTTTTTTAAATAACTTGTCTTTGTTGCTGACTCGATGTCATACAATTTCACCGTTTCCCAGCAGCTCCAGCACATCTGCATTCAATAGGTGAACACACTGCTACAACTGACAGTCTTACAGCCAAATGAAAGAATACTTTCAATAGCTGTATTTTCAGTAACCTAAAAAACCCAAAAGCCTCTATTTCACCTCAGACAGGAAAGCTTTGCCAGACTTCTACCTACCAGGTCCCTCAAGCAAACTCCACCTCTGCACTTTTCTGAGTGGAACAGAAATCTTCAGGCTGCTAATAAGAAGTACACCTGAACACGTATCAGCTTATCATGAAGAACACCCTGGAGCTGATCAACCCTCACTCAAGACACTGACCTGTGGGGTGGGGGTTTCTGGGAAAAGCTTTGTTTCAGGGCTCTGATTTCATGCTGCACCCCGGCAACAGAAGGCAGAGCGGATGGGCACCAGCAATAAATGCCTTCAGTCTTGAGCTGTGCAAGGCAAGCCCAGCCCATCTGTCCTTGGGAGGTAAATCCAAGAAGAGCAGAGCTCTAGAGCTCTCTACAAACCTCCTCCCCTTGTGCCTCTCAGATCCAAGCTCTTTGCTCAAGCTGCTGAGGTTCCCAGCACCTACTTCCCACAGCAATGCCTTGCTAGCACTTCAGAATTCCCCCTCTACCTCCTGTATGAGTTATTTAACACTGCTGAGCTCTTACTCTTCCAGTAGCCTTTTCTAAATACACCCAGCAGTACATGTTTCCTCATAACAGTGTTGTACTGAAATGAAGATCAGTGACCTTCACATCTCAGGTGCTATGTTGGACAAACAACCACTCAACAAACCATATCTTGAATTCTTTTCTGAAAATACAGGAAAATTCTCCTCATTTGGTGTGGGAGGGATGGGGAAAGGACGGACTTCGATATGCCATCTTCTTCTGCAGTGGATGACTCAACCCTGCATGACTCACAATATTTAACGTACAGTGAAATGACAGTAATCTAATGCTGCATAAACAATGGCTTTGTGGCAATTCTTAAAAGCAGTAATTATACATAAATGAAAAGATATTTAAGATTTTAACATGTAGACAGAGTAGCTTCTGCTTAAACCAAAAAGCGCTGTGCAATTATTTCTGCTATCAGCCTTGAATAGTAAATGAAGGATGGAGCCTTTAAAGAGGCTTCTTTACAGGACGGGATGTTTCTCCGAAAATCTAGCAGGGAAAGAAAAATGGAAGCCAGAAAGATGAGGGAGCCAGAAAGGAGTGGACAACTTTCCTGAAGAAAGCAGGAAGTGAAGATAAGGGCACAGCAAATCAGAGCAGTCTGAGGCCCCAGTGAGATGGTCACTGCAGAAAATGGCTATAGTGATTTTAAGACATGCCCCCAGGGTAGCAGAGCAGTAGCCACTTCCACAGCAAAGTCAGCAGCTTTAGCCTGAGCTACTGGTGGAAGTGGTGTGAGCTAATCTGAAACAGATGGGGAGGAGTTACAGCATCTTTCGCAAATGAGGAACAGCTGAGCAGTGGCAACACCAAATACCAGCTCAGTTACTTTTGCAGTGAACATTTGTATGCAGTTTCAGGGTTTTGAGGACGTACAATCCTTCCACTTGCCTGAAGGAAAGTCATTCTGCATGAGCTGGTAAGAAAATTAACATTTACAAAGATGCACAGACTGGCAGAGCCCTTAAAAACCAGAAACAGATAACATACAAATTTTGCAGCTCTATGGCCATCTTCTATAATGAATCTTAAAGGCTCTTTTTTTCCAGATGCTACAACAGAAATAAGACATACAGGTCTGTTTTGAAAAACATCATAATCCTTTTGGAAAATCTCAGGGCAGCGGGGAATGGATTTAAGTGTGGGAAAGAGAAGGTATACAAAAGAGAGGAATATCACTCAGGACAACAGAAAGAAGAAAGCAGGAGTCATAAATGCATAAGGAACACCAGATGTTTGGGGGAGAGATAGAAGGGATAATGAAGAGGAAGAACATCTAAAGAATAAATGCACACTGAAGAGTAATGTGTCTTTTAAGGATGGCCTTCAAAAGCTTTAAGACAGTGGAGAAGAGAGGAAGGGCACGGAGGGCAGTACAGGAGGCACCAGCAGTGCACTCATTTAACAACAGCATAAAATTGATGAGTGAAGGATGGTAAGTGAATAACTAGCTGGTCTAACTGCAGACACCAGAAGAAGTAAGTATGAGGATGAGGGAAAGCACCTCACTGCCTCTAATGATGATAGGAAACTTCAGCTCCTGCAATGCCAGGGCTCTGAACCACAACTCCAGGGTTAATTCGCTCTAATGTGAGGATACCCGAGTCACAGTTTTTGTCTGCTACCAGGGCATCTCTGCACAGTTCTGTGCTGCAGAGTCTTAACTCCGAGTTGTGAGACCCTGCCCCAGCACAGCACTGCACATGCATGAAAGCTGAAGGTAAGATCTTCTGATGCAAAACAAGAAAGTGGTGTTTCAACCCAGCCCACAGAAGACACTCTTACCTGCATGAGCATGTAATAGATCCCAGCCACACCGTGGGCTGCTCCAACATATTGCTTCCTGTGCCACTGGTACAAAAGAGGGCAACGCTCTGTTTTCCGCTCCTCCTTCGAAAAATTTTTCCCCGATTCAATAATAGCATCTATTACCTAAGAAAGAGAACACACCCCTTGCTGTCTGTCCTGCTTGTTTTGATTCAGAGGTTTTGCTTTGTCATGACTAAACCACAGTAAAGAATAAGCCACAGTAAACAGTGAAGGGGCAGTAATATTGAAGTTGTTTGGATTTCAGAGTTGAGGCAGAAATGGAATTTTTCCTACATGATAAAATCACTTGTATTTCTAAGAATAGGAATTTATTATATAAATATTTCTAATCACTTTCTCCAGGCCTTCCTTCTCTGCTTCTGGTATCCACAGAACAGTCGTGTATCTTCCCCACACTGAATTCTCCTTCTTTTTCACTTAAACACTTCCACACTTCTGTCTTAGGATTTTTTATAATTTCTCACCCTTAAAATCTCCAAAACTAGTTACATATTAGATAGATTCCATGGCAGGCCCTGGACCCACCTGCACTGTCCTGTCTCAGTCCCAGCTGGGCAGCAGGGAAAGGGAGAAGAGATTGGAGGGATGGATAAAACTGAGTTCCCAGTTCTAGGTCCCTCTCCTCTCCAGTAACTCTCTCTTAATCCCTTGAATTATGCAAAGGAGTGATTCCAGTTCAACCTCACTGATGCTGTGGCACTAGAGAGAGAAAAGTATCTTACCTCTTTGATAACTGACTGTGGGACAGTGTCAGGACCAATTTCAGTATTCAGGTACAGCAAGGCGTATAGGTAACCTGCTCTGCCATAAAGCAGCTCGTCTGGAAGTTCAGCATCTGTGCTTACAACTGTCCTTTGGAGCTGTAACAGCCTGCATCAGACAAGGAAGGTGGGGAGAGAGAGCATCTTCTTTAGAGACCATACTGGGCTACGTATTGTACAAGCCATCAATCAAACCAAACCAGTGCTGAAGCCTCACCGCTTCCCTTCAGCCATCCCCAGTTCAGCTGGCTGCCAGGTTTCCTCACAGGAGCTCTGTGCCTGCCACCCCTCAGAGACAGGCAACTCTAGTCAGAGCCAGGTGAGTATTAGTGCAACTATCGGGTTTTTGTGGAGATAGAAAGAGATGTTGTATGGGTGCAGGGTCGGGGTTGGAGGAGGCTGGAAAGCTACTCCAACAAATAGGGAAACCTCCTGGAGTCTCTGGGAATTCCACCTAAATGAGGACCCCTAATTGTCGATGTGTAAGAGGGAAAAACCAAAACCCAGTACCACCATTCAGCACTCCCCCTCCCTGGACAACATGTTGTCTAAAATGTTTAGCAGCTCCATTTTGAAAAGCAGACTGCTATTATGTGCACATGTTGCCTTTAGCAGTTAAAAAACCACCTTGGGTTGGCCATTGCAACTCTCATTTGCTCCAAAGAGACTCCCTGCTATTACTCGACCAGCCTGCATCAGCACCGAGGTGGAGCAAAGATCTGTTTTGCTGCCCACTCCCTCCCTGTCTCTTCCTATCTTTTGTGATTAAATTGGCAATTAGATGAAATTGTGGAGATGATGACATTTTTAATTGGGAGAGGGGGAAAGACCATCTGGATTAAGATGAAATTCAATTTCCAGATCCCCCCAGCCACAATTACTTGACAGAAATGTTAGCATTAATATCATGCTGAAGCAAAACCACTGACCCCAATGGCTTGTTTATGCTGTCACTGCTTAATACCAGGGAAAAGTCAGTCACAAAACCAAGTTTTTTATTACCATTCCTTTCTTGGAACTATGCTTTGGCCTTAGAATTATTTTCTTTTAAACTGTCCACTGAAGTTTTATTATTCAAACTGTACAGCTGGACAGCTACAAGGTAAAAAGTTAAAAGTGCAATCATAGACTACATTTTGACATCTGTAACTTACTACTCAGCTGGTATCACGAATATATTTGTAAACAAAATACAAGAAAAGAAACAAATAGTCAAACTAACCTCCTCTTCAGTCCTCCCCCTAGAAATTACCTTGCAAGGAGAGGTGAGACTAAAAGACTTATTGCTAATCTTATTTTGATATACTCATGCTTCATGCCTTACAAGCACCACCAATGTCCTAGCTGCATCCAAAATGACATGCCAAAGTCATGGGCTAAAGGCAAAAAACCCCTCAAACCTACCACTCATTTCAAAACTAAAATATTCATTCAGGAACAGCAGCAAAGATTAATCAAACCAGGATTCTAGATTAGAACAAGACCAATTATATACCCAAACATAAAGCAGAAAGGAATAAGGCTAGTCTGCAAATTCTGGCAGGCTAAGGTATGCTGCTGGACTGCTAGCAGGTGAATTGCTGATGCCGAATGTGAACCCCACAGGGCTTCAGTGCTTCCAGCCCTCACTGGGACAGCAATCGGCTCCATACCAGCAAAGGGACAAGGAAACTCTACATCCAGATGGGATTTCTCAAGACATTTGTTACCTTTAGATTACTTTGGAAAGGGGCTGGAATATTTTCAGGCTACACTTCATATGCTCTGACCTAATTAAAGCCCTTGCCTTTGATGGTTCAGCAAATACCTCATCTTTCTTTTATTAATTCTTTGTTACAGATCAATCCAATGTACCATGTTTCTGTCTGGATGTTTCCAGATCCCTGTAGTGTACATGTTTTGTAATGAAACTACAGTTAAGACCCACTCTTTACAGGAACCATCACATACTGCACAAGCACTACATATTGCCGATGACAAGCGTGTGGCTTTTGTTAAATGTCACTTCAATGTGACAAAATCAAAACGTGCATGCACTACAGATATGCCCAGGACATCCTGTCTTTGCAGCTATAGAGGACTCAAGATAACCCACTAAATACAAATCAAGTGTAAGCCAGCTTTAATAAAGATAAAGGCTATTTTGTATTCTTCTACTGAAAATGTATCAGGGGAGAAAGTGTCTCCACCTTTTTAATCCTGTCCTCCAAAACTCCACTTGGTAATATTACTAAACCAGTGCTCTCTACTAATGAAAGGCATGACTTTTTCCACCATCAACCACTTACTTGGAAACACATTCTTTAGATTCACTGTCATTTTTCAGCTTGTGATAAACCACTGCACCTACTGCCAGTGGCCCAGCATCACCACAGAGGAAAGTAACTCTTCTGCCATTCAGATTGCGAAGGATTCTCTTCACATAATCAAGAGATCGCTGCAAATGGCTCTGGTTTTTTGTGACGCGGTACAGTTGCAGATATAAAAGGGCAATACCTGGAACAACCACATGAAAGAGAGAGTTTCACTTATTTTTCCCTTTAAGTATAACATACTACCCTCTTTAGAGCCTCTGAACCAGTAACTCAAATACAAATGTGTATTTGGGCAATTAAAACATGCCATTCAAAGGCCCTAGCCTATACAACGGCATCAGACCATCTATTTTGATTACATTTCAATTTAGATTGTGACAAAAATAAAAATAAATTTAAAAAATCACGCTGAAGCCCAATGGTAGACTCACAATTTGCAGAGAACGAAGAAAATTCATAACATAGGCACCACAGCTTGGTGAAGAAACCATTGAAGATTCAAAAGCTTGGGCTAACAAGCATGTATATGACCAAGTACACTGGCTGTACAATACTCATCTATTATATGCAAGAAGTAACTTATTTTCCATTTGATTTGTAAAAGGATCTTTTCATGATTTTTTTTATTCAGCCTTCCAAGTTCTTTATAACCCTTAAATGTATTTCACAACAAGATTATGAGCTTTGACAAATTAATCTGGTTTGTAAAAGCCAGAAAGCAAACATGTCCTCAGAGAACACTGGAAGGCAATATAAAGCTTCACTCCATTAAACTCATCAGGTAGTTTTACATTTAAAAAACCCCAAACCAAACCTTAAAAATAGCAACAATATAGACTGAAGAAAGTGAAACATGTAAGTGGATGTTTATTGGCCAATCGCAAGCATACCTGTGCAGAAGCAAAACATTCACCTCCAGATGGTACTGCAAATCCAACTCATTTCTGAACAGGGAGGGCAGCCTCCTGAGCCACAACTAAAGCCAAGTACACACAAGGCCCACTTAGCTCCATAGAGAGGCCACCTGAGGAGTACCAGAACAGCACCACAAGAGTGCTAGTACATCCTCAGATGTTCTCCGGACTGGCTTTGAACAGACATTTCTAGTTGAGTCCAAGAAGAGAGCTGCAGAGCTTGGTTGTCCAAGGAGAGAGCTGCAGAGCCCAATTCAGTGGCATGGGAACTTGTGGGCTTACTGGGATTTCTGTAACCCTTTTTTAGTTTGCAACAAATGTGTAGATATCTGGGCTTGATCAAAGGATGATCAAAAAAGTAGCCATAAGGCCCAGTTCATCCAGTCATTTCTTGTGCCATACCCTTAAAATGGCTGCTTCAAGATGTCTGGCACATACAAAGAATACTTGTATAAGCGAGATGGACTCTAACATGGGTCCTGTGACTGTTACGTGCCAACAGTACATGCTCCAAGATTTTTAAGATGCCAGTAAGATTTGTCTAGACTTGATACAAAACAAGCAGGGCAGTTGTTTTCAGCATTGCTTTTACCTTCTGATTTGCACACTAGCAAAATGCTGCAAGGAGCAAGTATCTGCACTATTTTAAAAGCCAAATCATTTAAATATTTTTATTCAAGGTCATTTCCATAGGAGCCTTGAACAAAGTTTACAACTTGGAATAGACACAGTTGGCAATCCTTCTACAGAACGGAAAAACCCCACTCTCATTAGACAGTTACTTGTTCACATAGCTTCTCATTTCAGCTAATGATGGCTGTGTTACTTTTAGCTTATGACTCATTTTAAGCAAGCTCTGGTTTATCAGCTGTAACTTCAGTTGTCAGTCATAGTGTCAGAATGCAGCTCTCCCCCCACCTCTGGAGATCTGCTGCACTCACTTAGCAGCCACTCACTTCAGACCTTGAAACCCATCTACCATTTAAGTCTGAGTTGTCTAAAACTTCCCCACCCATCCACCCACAGCACCATCTGTACTGAAACATCAAGAAGAAAGCAAAGAAATTTTACCCCTTCACTGCCATAATTAAGCCTGAGCATGGACAAAACCTGGAGTGTTTTTCCAAGCTGCTCCCCCTCACCACACAAAGATAAAAGAACCAATCTTCTCAGGGCACATTTCAAACATGCTGTGCTAGAGCGTAAGCGTGAGCTAGACAGAGCAGGAATAGAACATGCCATTGTAATAGCAAACTGGCACTTAAGAGGTCTAGACGGAAAAGCATTTTGGCAGCTTGAAGAGCAGTGGCCGCATCAGACTTGACAACTGCAGGCTCTGCCTAAGGGATGAGAAAGGCTCATTCACATCTGGACAGCATCAGTGATGTGATGCTAAATGAACAACTGTGCCTAGCAATAACCAGAGCTTGCACATGCCTGTTTATCTTCATGAACTTCACAACCTTGCAACCCCACCTCCATACTCCTCCCTCCTCAGATGCTCATTTTACCATTTGTGTGCAGACAGAACAAGCACAGTCAAACTATCCATATTCCAGATTTTAAGGCTCTAATCTCCTGGGGCACAGAACACCTCTCACCAGCCTACCTCCCCCCCCAGGGATTATAAAATGTTGTTACCATTAGACAACTGCTAACTAACAGTCAAACAGAAAAAGGTGAAAACAACTCATTTTAAGAAAACCTTAAAGAAGAAAGAGGTAGCTGAAAAAGCAGAAGCAGAAAATTCACTCCTCTTGCAAGACAGAGATATCCATATACAAAAGCCAATTATCTCTCTGTAACTTTGTCTGCTGAAGTCAATGGAAGTCATTCCAGACAGCAGAGACCAAGGGTCCAGAGTCAGAAGAAACCACCTCATACAAACACCTGTATCAGAGTATTTCTGCTGCTCCTATGAGAATATAAGAAGCTCCCCCTGTGAGTAAACCCAATTACACTATTTAACAAAACCCACTCAAATTCTAGCTTTCTCACCAGTCCAACCAGTATAGGCAGAGCAATCATGTGGATCTGCTGTCTTCAGCCCTTCCTCCATCTGTTGCAGAAGGTCCTTGATTTTTGCCTGGATCCGTTTTGAGAACCGAGCACTGACCTGAAAACAGGAGACAGGAGAAAGGGAGTGAGTCAGAAAAAGGAAAAACCCAAGAACCCAAACTGTCTGCTCCACTTACTCATTTGGGAAAAAAAAAACAAAAGAGCAACAACAAAAAAAACTACCAAACAAAAAATAACCAGGGAATAAATATTACATGCAGCAATCAGCAGTGTCACGCTGGTTCACCTTAAGTGTGTCCCATGTAATGCATTCTGATTACATATTAGAGTAAGTTGCTACTATCTACATTAGACAAAAAAATTATCTGGGGAGGCTTTCAAGTCACATGAGGAGTAGCTATGGACACTGACAGAATGTAATTATATGCTGCCTTTTAGGCTCTTAATACTGTAAGCAAACCTTCTCTGAGCTGAGTAGAAGGTGAACAGAAGCAAACAGAAAACAACCACCCAATGCCACTCCATGGGCGAGTACTCCACTCACTCCACTCTGGGTCCTGGTAGCAAGACCACATTATGGACGAACACAGCAGAGTGAACCTAATAGCCCCATGTTATAGCTGCTTGCTCTCATCACAAGGTCCCTGCACAACCTTCCTGGCACTGTGGAGCATGAAATAGCTAAAGGAAAATACATGCTCATATTTGTAGAGCAGGAAATAGCTAAAGGAAAATAAATGCTCATATTTGAGACAATCAAGTCAAAGACAAGCCATCTTTAATGATGTGCTTAATCACATCATCAATGATGCATTCACATTTTCTTCTTAAACCCAAGACTTTTTCGATGTCCCAGTTTGTGATCACCACATGGAGGTCGCCTAAATGCCCTTCTTCCTGATTCTTGCTCTCTCCCCAAAACAGTATTAGGACTGACATGCTTTATCATGAGAGGAAGTTGTTAAATGCAGCAACATATTAAAAGAACAACTACTTGAAAGAAAGAGCCAAAGAGGATGAGTAAAAGTAGCTCAGTAGTTTCAGTTCGTGCATGAAGGTGAAGATACAAATCTTTGATTTTACACATTGCTAGCTTTTACTTTTGACCAAGAAAAGTTTAAATATACCCTATGTATAAAATATAACAGAGGATACTTTACTCTTGCCAACATTTCTCTCTCATTAAGACACTGTATGGGAAGATACATCACTGATTACTCACTTAAGCCTATGGAAAGAGGAAACAGTCAATTCACTAGAACTTATTGCCCTATTAACTTCCACCCATAGAATATTCATGAAGTCCCTTCACAGGACTACTCCACATTTGAGTGGGAGCATCAGGAACAACAACCAAAAATTTTTTTTTCTTTTTTAATTAAACAGTATCACTTAATGAATCAGCTTTTACTATTAACACATTTATTTAAAACTATTTTATATATTTAAATAGAACTTCATGGCCAGATTTACTTATAGCACAATTTATCTACTGCAGAACTAAAGAAGAAGAAACGTAAAAACTCTTCCCTTCCTGGGCTATAGGAAAAGCTTTCTTATTATCAGATAATCACATCATCCTGACAAAATAGTGATGTATACAAAACTTGTGCCACCCAAAAGTATTTCCTGAATATGTTTTCCATCATCTACTGGAAGCCCCAGGCATACATCACTTGACACCCCTATCCTAGTTATCCAGGAGTAGCCAGAAGAGAAACCTTCTAGGAACATAGAAGCCAGCAGTTTCCCCACCTCCCAAATCAAGATCCACAATGCAGTGTCATCAGAAAACCAGCACAACACAATTTGGCAACTTGTCAGCTTACACTGACAGTAAGCTACTGTTTTCTGAACAGTACTTGATCTCCTTCCACCACCTCTTGCTTCCCCAGCCTGCTCCCAGATAGCAGCTGGAATAAATCAGATCAGTGAAGGCTTAGTTTGATGTTAAACATATCTGTATTTATGATATTTTTTTTTTTTACTGGAGAAGGAGAAATTAGCTCGTGAGGAAGTTAAGTTCTTGTCTGATTATGACACAGCCCAAAAGGGAAGGGTTCAGATCAATGATGGGTCTTGGATGCCACCATGCAACTAATTACTCAAAATACACCACACTTTGTACTCTTGTTCGGAGCAGAACTTCACATGAAGATCAGTGAATTCAAACATCCATTCAACAGATTCAGAAATCAAAAAGGTAACAGGAATTACACAAGTCCTCTGGCATACCAGAAGTCCCCAGGGTCAACGGTTCAAATCCATTTTATGATGGTGAGGTAGGAGAGGAAATTGTGCTTTTGTATCTCACACTGTACTCATGCATACCACTCTGGGAAGGAGCTACAGCCCCCTTAACCTTCTCCAGTAAACTCTAGAAATAGCAACCACAGTAAGCATCTGATGTCTACTTGGCCTTAATATGGCATTAAGCATCTTTTTGTTAGGAAACTGTACCATGCACATACAACATCCCCCCCACCATTTTGACTAGTCCAGTGAAGTCTCAACACAAAGCAAAACCTTTCCCAAGGGCAGGACTTCCCTTTCAAAAGACAGCTATGCCAGTGCTAAGGCATATGGTCAAACAGCGTGAGGATATCCACACCAATGATTCAGGCACAGCACTTGGCTTATCTGACAAGAGTGAACTAAGCTTTCAGGCTCCCCGTTTATTTACCTACTGCACATCACAATCAGGATGTTTATCTCTTTGTTCTGACAATACACCTGCTGTTACCAAATCAGGATATTTTTTATCACACACCAGATCAAATTACTTAGAGGCGGGAGGGGAGGACCAGGACATCAGGACACCTGGGTTCTGCTTTGAAACCTTGGTCCCATACAAATAATTTAGATCAGGTTGGCATATCCCTCTCTCTAAAATGGTATCTTACTTCTCTTGTTTCAGTGTTTGGAAAAGCACAGATGAAAGAATTTTTAAATAATAATAATAATTATTATTATTATAATTATCTATCAGCCCCCAAAAAAGTGACTCCCAAATTTATGCCAGAGTGAGTGGCAACAATTTTCCCCAGCTACCTACTCCTCCACCACTCTTTTTTTTTTTTTTTTTTTTTTTTTTTGGTTGCTCTGAAGCTTTAACAACCGAGCACTGTCACTGTTCATTTGATAAGATTCTACTATAAACTTATAAAAGATGTTTACATGCACTAGAATAAATTAATTACATAAAGAAATGAATGTTGAAAGGTGGCTTTAGAAGATTTATAAACCTCCTTCAATGAATCTTATGGCAGCATTACAGCTGAGCATAAACCACGCTAATTCGTGTTGAGTGCAGATTGATTCTCAAGAGAAGCATATTCATTTCATGAGGATGATTCCAGCTGGCATTCAGCCTTTTCTGCAGGTAACTCTTGTTATTCCTGTAGGGACAAACAAAAAATGAGAGGCCTGACCTCTGATATCCAGTATTGCATTTACTCCTGGTTCACAACAGCCTGGCTGATAACAGGAGCTGAAGAATACCTTGAACTAGAAAAGGCTCTCTCCAGGAATTCAAGTGCTGCATTACTCCTCTGCTGCTGCAGGAAGAACAACCACTACCACCCTAAACACTGCTCAAGTTTTACATCAGCAAAACAGAGAAAATGAAAGGTCATTCCCCATTATACCCAACAGTACCCCACGCCATATTATGGTAATAAGAAAGGCTCATTATCACCATGAAACAGAAGTAGTGCAGAAAAATACAAATATGTTGGTTTCACAAATTGCTTTCTGATTTATTTAAACCATATCACTTTTTCCATTGCAGTGAGGCAGTATGCAAAGCTACATCCCAATCCAAAGCCTTTTAAAGCCAACAAAAATGTAGAGTGTAAGAATATATAAAATAATCACTCCCCTCTGGCACTAATGACATGGTATCCAAATTATGCTGTCCTTGTCAGCAACACGTGCATCCCCTATCTTCTTTCATTTCTAGAGTTCCTAAAAAGGCTTTAAATCATCTTTTTATGTAAACCCAGCCCTAAAACTACACACATATATTACAAAAAATACACCATGATGCAAATAACACTTTCCTAAAAGAAACACACATTTCACTTGCAGCTGATATTACAGTAATGTACTGATTCTTACTGACCTACCTCTGCATTACAGCCATATCCAGCTTTACAGCCATGGCTTTAAAACAAACCAGCACCAAGAGCAGATGAAGAAGCTGCTATGTATGTATTCTCTATCATGCTTTCGGGTAGGTAAGAGAAGCCTGTAACTTAAAAGTCTTGCATGCATATTTGGACCAGGTATCATAGTGCTTACATAAGTCTGACAATGCATCCATGAGGCCTCATGGTACTCCTTTTGTGGTTAGAAGGAATACTCTGGTTTGACAGACACACAGTGAGTTATCTTATTTGCCTTTATCAAAGGGATTTAGATACCGAGGTGTTTTTCAAAAACACCTCTCAGTATTTATTTGCATCATGACACACCTATGCCAAGTAACTTGGCAGGACAATGGAGACCAGAGCTCAGCTTCTTGACACGTTTTCAACCTACCAGTCTTTCTTGCTACCACCAAAACAACTGTCTTGCTATTAACCCTGTTTTGCTATTGATCTTGTTTTTCTTCATCAGCTTCTGGGGAACTGATGCTATGTGCAAAACCGGACTGAAGAAGGAAGCTATTGATTCTGCAAGAAGCAGCATGGAGATGGCCTAAATGCACAGTGCTAACTACAAGTTTGCATTATACTGTGCATTCCCCTGGCACCTCAAATTGCACCAGGGCAGGGTTAGACTGGCTGTTAGGAAGCATTTCTTCGCAGAAAGGTTTGTTGGGCATTGGAATGGGCTGCCCAGGGCAGGGGTGGAGTCCCCATCCCTGGAGGGGTGACCCATCGCTGAGGGATCTGGTGGAGTTGGGAAGGGTCAGGGTGAGGTTCATGGTTGGACTAGGTGATCTTCAAGGTCTTTTCCGACTGAGATCATTCTGTGTTACACTTTTATTTCACCTCATCTCAGTTCGAATCAGGTTAAGAAGAGATATTTCAGAGAAACACAGCTTCATTGTTGGTGATGTGCAGAACAGGAGACCTAACACGGCACTGGGTTTTCTTTTGGCCAAAGTGTGTTTTGCAGAGAAGAAAATACAGCTCAAGTTGGCACTGCAGCAAGGACTCACTTAAAAAACAGACTTGCATAGAAGACTCCATGAGGGACATGACAGACGCTGGTAAGGGAGAATGGGGTGGGGGCCGACTCACAGCTCTACTGAAACGAGAAATCCTGGCCATACTGAAATCATTGGGAACTTTGCCACTGACTGTAAGGGAGCCAGGTTTCACACTTGTGCTTTGGAGCACGGATATATTGAAGCAGGATGAGGTCTCATGCTCACCTCCACAGAGCTCCTGCAAGAGCAGACCAGAAGGAAAGGCAGTATGATCCCACATGCAGAATCTAGCAAGGTCAGCTGGAAAGCGACATGCCATTTTCTACAGAAAAACAAGTTTTACTTTGTTTTTATCAAAATCAAAAGTCTGTTACAGCTCCAAGAACAGCTTTTTTTTCTTCTTTGAAAATACCAGACACTAAGAAAACTCATCCCCCAGCCTCTGGAACAGTTAAACACTTCTCTCTGCTACTACTCAGTTATGTCCTTCCAGAAATGAATGCCAGTTCTGCAAAACCACATACTTAATAAATGATTTGAAACACTGCTGTCTGTAGAACACATTGCACTGGTTTTCAGTGATCTGGCACCTAATGCTGTACATGTGAAGGTGGGGAAAAAAAGAAAAAAAAAAAAGGAGACAGAAAAATCAATAGCTGTAGGCAAACTACTACACTGCTACAAATGCCAATTTAAGAATAGGCTTTAAATGCAGGCATCACCCTAAGTCAGAGGAGATGAGGGCGTGAAAAACATAATTAAAAGGCAATCTATTCAAGTTACAGAAAGAATTGTTTGAAGCATGTAAGAAATAATGAGACTGCCTCTAATGCATTTGTGTATAAACGAAGCTATTTGTCCCACTGGTAATTAGGCTGCAAAAAAACAAAGCCTAAAGATTTAGATCATCATAAAGAGTCACCAAAAAGCTTCAAATTATTGGTAAAAAAAATAAACATGATTAATAAGACTCCAAGGAACATCATCCTGTATTTTGGGAAAGGAAGGCTGATAAGGCAAAAGAGCAATGCTGACAATCACTGGTCCTCCTGGTAACCTAACACCAGCATGCCACTTCTTGAAAACTAAGAAAATAGAAGTCTGTTGTGAGCATAATTTAAAGTCACTCACTACACAGACGTCTTCACCCCAGCTGGGGCATTCTGAGGCAGTTCAGAAGTTGTAAAAAAAGCTAAAACTCTACCAATACTTTCTAAATTATTTTGACACATACTGAACTTGACAGCATATCAGTGTTGTGCAGTTAGACTCCTATATAATTTACTTTCACCAGAAAATGAGTACCTGTTATTGCACTTGCCCACACAACTAGCCAGAGTGACAACTTGCTAACACAGGTCTGCAAGATGAAACTAGAATCTGACGAAGAGTGCGTGGATGAGAGAGAATTTAATCAGAACTTGGGTTTTGAGTAAAAAAAAAAAAATCTTCATTCAGAACTGGTTGACTAAAACAAAACAGGCTTAACCATGTGGTTAAAAGTGTTGTCCGAACAAAAGGAGAGGCTTTCAATACAAAAGCATCAGAAAAGTGCTAAGTGGCATTTGATGCTGATGTGGCTGTAGGAAACAAGCAGCAGTTCTTCCTCTCAGGCTAGGTACACCAACTGTCGTGAGTTAGTAATGGACAATAAAGTATAAGAAACAGATTCTCAGACCCAATTTTGACTAAGACTCGTGAAAAGCAAACCAAACTTTCCTTCAACAGAAACAGGATTTGCAGTACTCGGAATCCTCTATGAAAATACCACGCACCTGAGATGGGGTGCCACAAACAGCCAAAAAAATCTCAAGAAACGCAGCTACACCATCCCACATCTCCAGAAGAAAAAGTGGGAAAAAATATGTACTGGCTCTGGGGGTTCAATTTTGCCTCCAGTGCAATGAGTGGTATGATTCCCACTGGTCTACGTGGTTGCAGAATCAGTCCCAGAACAGAGAGAACTTGCTGCTCTCAGTGAGACAATTAAAATGACCAGTGAGACAACCCGACAAATACTGCAGGGAGGAGAATGAAGAGTGAGGCAATGACAAAAAAAAATGTTATATATGGGGTTTTTTAATTTATTTTGAAGAAGGAGAAAGAATGGAAGGCCACATAAAGGAATTATCGGGAGATTTAGAAAGCACCAGGAAACCAAACTGCTACATCACCCCAAAGATAATCTAAGTAATTATTCTGTATGGCCATTAAGTGATAATCTTTGCCAATAAGCATCATTGGTTTTAAAACAGGTTCCCTATAAGAAGCCCCCTACAAAGCCTAATTAAGCACATTGAGTATTGCCGGAACACACCACCTTTTACTAATACTCTTAAAACATTATGCCAAGTCAGAAGAAACTTACCAAGAAAGAACTGGCTTGAAAAAGAAGTTACTGTTTGGGCATCCTAGTGACCTATCCATGAAGTTTGAATCCAATTTTCGTGCTGTCAAAAGACTACCCTGTGATTCCACTGCAAATCTGGACAATGTTAAATTGAGGGCTGAGATTTGTTAATATCTTGATGCCAAGGATGCTTTTCTTGCACACACACACAAAATCCACATCAGGTTGCCTAGGCATGGGGTTGCTTCCACCTTCCCCTGGACGAGCAGGTAGTATCAGCCTGCCTTTAGTTCCCAAGTCACTGGCCCATAGGTGGTGTGAAGGTGGCTCCTAAATCACACCCAGCTTCGCTACGGATGCAGCCACAGCGGTGGCTCTGAGGACGGTGGCAATCTGGGTTGGTACTGGTGGGTCACCCACAGAGCTGGGTCCTTGAGCAAGCCATCACCACCCCTTCCCAGCAAGCTCTCCTCACCCTTCCCCTTCCCAGGAAATCCATTACAGCTTCGCAGCTCTCTACCACACGAAGGTTTTGATAAACAGATTCTGAGCCACGACAACTGGCTGCCCCAGCTTTCTGCAAGCCTGATGCAGACCTGCCCGTTCTCGGTCCCACAGCTAACGGGCAACACACCACCAACAGGTCTGGACATTAATTGCAGCTATCGGTTGCCTCTGCTGCAGTCAGGTGGGGAAGCAAAGCAAGGTACTGCTCAGACAGTTAGTTGTCGGTTCCCAACTGCACAGGCCCATAGCCTGATACCACCACATTTAAGAATAGATGAGTTTATAACTAGAGTTGCCTATACAATTCATGGGAAACTATCAGAAGAACATCTTCTTTTCAAATTTTAACACCTTTCTCAATAAACAATTACAGTGAATTAAAAATTCAATTAAACTTAACAGAAAAACTGATTTTCTCATGAACTAGGGAATATGTTCTCAGTCTATAGCTGCCTATTCATTTCTCTGCCTCCCTGACCACTTACATTTGCATTCTGAAAACTTCTGGAACACTTTGAGATAACATCTGTAGGTACTTCCTTAGGCTAAGGTATCCTAAAGTATGTGGGATCCACATCAAAAGGAAAAGGGCTACAAGATATATATTTAATTGACAGATTTGTCATTTTTTTAAACAAAGGCTTACATTTAAAATGTTTCTTATTAATCTATAATTAATGCTGTCTGATTAATTATTACCTTCAGCTTTCTCAGACAAGTTACAGAAGCAATTCAAGTCCACGACACTTTCACAGTGAAGAAATCTAGTCAAAAAAAGGTGAATTTCAACTACATGAGCAGAGCCCACCTAGACAACTGCAGTGTTTACTGTGACTATTTTTGAGAAAGCAAATCAGCAGCCCCAAACTTATGTTTTTCTCTTCTCCTGCCCCCATACCTTCTAGCTTCCTGAACACATACAAACACATTCTTCCATGTGCAGCACTTCGCCGCAACTGTCTCACATTTTGGACAATGACTTGAAGAGCTTCTTGTCCTTTTATCAGCCGGAAGAATTTTAGATGGCAATCCTGGCAGCTTATGAAATCAAATGGAGGGATTAATAATGCATCGCCTTCCATGACAACGGCAGAGCCCCGCATACCTCTAGCTGTCATTACGTGAGTCACTCTGCTCACTGTTCCACGCAGCAGCAGATGGGAGGAAGAAATAATGCACTGCACTGAGGGCTTCTGAAAGGTGCTCTCATTTTTAGGAAACTTGTGCTACTGTGTACAGTGGGTTAAAGAACAGACTTCCTAACCTATGTAAACGCTTTTGTCGTCACCAGGGCTTTAGGCAGGCAAAGACATTTCTCTGACTGGACTGAAGCATGTAAAATGCAAAAAAAAAAACCTCCACCCAAACCACAAACAACAACAAAAGCACCCCAGAATAGTAGTCATGAAGTCTCATAAAAGTCAGCATTGTACTAGGATTGACAATATGCAAATGCTGCATATAAATACATAAATATACTCATATCTATGTTCTAGCTCAAAAATATGTAGGACAATTCCTCAGATTTTGCAGATGCAGAAAGAAAAGAAAACGTACACTCACAGCTGCCTTCTCCTATAAAATGCACACAGTTAAAAAAATTCAAAGATCACTGAAAGTTGCTGTAGTTACATCGCTTTAACACGGCACAGAAGATGACTGTTTTCCAGAGTGGCTTCATACTTTTCAACATAACAAGGCTTAGACACCACCTTTTATCAAATACATCTCAAAGATATTTTCTAAACAAAGCTGCAGAAATAGCTGCCAACTGCCACACTGTAACAAGGAATGTCATCCACCACTGATGCTGGGAAAAAAACACTGTAAAACAGCAGAATCATCTACAGCAGAGCAGAACAGACATTCCTAGTGTGAATACAGGACTAGAAATTCTTGACTAACTCATTGCAGCTCTGCCACACAACAATGTCTCTGTATTTGGATTCATCCAGGAATTAAATCAGAGTTGCAATACAGCTAGTATTCTCTAAAATAATATTTTAGTAGTCAACCTACATCAGCACAGTAAATGAAGGCTTATATTCTCTTTAAAAAGATGAAGTGTGGGATCTAAAGCAGGTACATAAGGCTGACTGGCCTACAGAAGGCCTTAGAAAAAATTTCTTGGTATGTTTTTTACCAATTTAAACAATATATAGCTATAACTGTTCTGCCATCTCCTCTCTGCCTCCATACTTCAACTCATAGTACTTGGATGTTTTTTATATACTGAACCAGATACAAAGAATAAAGGAGTCAGTTCTCTTCCACAAAGAAAAAAGAAATTGGTTTACTAGCACCTGAGTATATTATCAGGGCTTTTTGTAAAAGCAAAGCAGATTCCACTTTCAAACCTACCCTTGCTTTTTAACCCTTTTCAAGTGCCAAGTTCTGCTTTTGACAGCTGCAAGTAGCAGTAAGACACCCATGCCCCAAAGTATTCCCTTCTGTGCATGCTGCTGAGCCACACACAACTTCATAAAGCTCAGCTGCAACAACTCAGTGAAACCTTTCATGGTCTCGGACTGATGGTGAGCTGATGCTGTGCCGCTCCTTCTTACGATGTGCAGGAAGAAGTCACTTCTCCCACCGCTCAGCGCCACCATTCTCGTCCCACCCTATCAGTGAGCCAAAGCAATTCCTTATTGCCACAAGCAGAAAAACACAGGGCTGAGATTACAGGCTCTCCTTTATTTACCCCAGTGGGCAGGCGAGTGAGTTAGCAAAGTTAGCTTCCCACCCAGCACATTGGTGCTTCTAGCATCGTCACCAGGCAGTGTGTTTCACCCAAAAGATGACAAAGCAGCACAGTATTGAAAGATGGAGCTGCTCAGGGGCTAAAATGACAGCAGGTCATTTTAATATGGTATTCCTTTTAATTCTGGTATTCCTTCCGCAGCTTAAGACAGCTTGTGTGGTAACAGGCCAGAGCAACTTCTGTGCTTTAAAGCCTCAAACGCACACAGCTCCCCAACCAGCTGCGTGTGGTGTCGAGGGAAGCGGAGCAGGAATATCGCAAACCTCATGCGACCAGCGCCACCGGACAGACCTTCCGCTGGCCCGATGGGGCTGTCCGGTGCCCGTCGTGATATGTACGACGTGGTAAATGTACGACAGCAAGCACATGCCTTGGAGAGCACAGTCCGGCATCACCTAAAGCCCGAGTGTTGCCGTCACCTGAGGGGAAACTCGTCCTTTCTAGATGCGCCCTCATCCTTTCCCCTCGAAACCCGGGCAACTTCGGAGCGCTGTGCAGAACCCCCCCAGCAACCGCACCGCGGGCAGCGCTACCCCGGGCCCGGCGCCGCGTTCATTCGCATTCAAGGCGGGGAAATAAACCCCCGCGGGCAGCCGCGGTGCCGACACCACGC